AGTCTGAAACTTCTACCCTTTTACTATCAATCAACCATGCAACCACCCCCCCCCCCGAAAAATTACCCCCCCCCTTTTTTTTGGCTTTTCAAAAAATACACTCGCGGAATGCCCTCCTCCCCATTCTGAATCTGCCACTGATCTGCCCCGACAAGATGACGTTAGAGTGTAATGACACGTTTAGCTGTACCAAAACCAAGACGTATCATACAGAATGGTTAAATAAAATTACACATATACTATATATTCCTTAAAAATTCATCAGTATTAAATGTTACAATATTATTTCTTCCAAACAAATTAAACTTTCATATATATATATATATATATATATATATATATATATATATATATATATATATATATATATATACATAAAAATTGCTTCTCTTCTCAAATCAAACTTTATTTCCAAATACATACTTACCTAACAAATATTAATGGAAAGCTTTATAAGATATTTAAAAGGATGTATTTACATTAACCATTTAAACAAGATGTGTTTGTGAAACAATGATGCCCCCGTATGGCAACTTATAGCAAAGGTTAAACTTTCTCAAATGCAAGTCAAATATGTTGGTACCCAAAGTAAGGTCTTATCTCGAGGAATATACCTGTGAAATATGAAAACCCTAGCAGCAACCATTGAATAGATATGGAAAAGGTTAAAGTTTTTCAAAAGTAAGTCAAACATCAAGGTCAAGGTCAAAATTAATAGTGCCCAAGGAAAGGCTTTCTCACAAGAAATATACAGGTGAAATATGAAAGCTGAAGCACCAATCTTTCGAAAGTTATGACCAAGGTTAAAGTTTTTCAAAAGTAGGTCAAACTCCAAGGTCAAGGTCAATGGATTACAATTTTTGGTATCCAAAGGAAGGTCTTGTCACAAGGATTACATATGTGAAGTATGAAAGCCCTAGCAACAATCGTTCAAAAATTATGGCCAAGGTTGAAGTTTTCAAAAAATAGGTCATACTCCAAGGTCAAAGGGTCAAACTTGTAGGTATCTAAAAGAAGGTATTGTCACAAGGATTAAATATGTGAAGTACGAAAGCCCTAGCACTAATTGTTGAAAAGTTATGGCCAAGGTTAAAGTTTTTCAAAAGTAGGTCAAACTCCAAGGTCAAAGGGTCAAAGTTGTTGGTATCCAAAGGAAGGTCTTGTAAAAAGGATACATATGTGAAGTATGAAGGCCCTAGCACCAATTGTTCAAAAGTTATGGCCTAGGTTAAAGTTGGGTAAAATTTTGCAAAACTGGGTCAAACTCCAAGGTCAAAAGGTCAAATATTGTGGTACCCAAAGAAAGGTCTTGTCACAAGGAATACACATGTGAAATATGAAAGCCATAGCTTCGACCAATCAAAAGTTATGGGCAATGTTAAAGTTTTTGCGGACAAACAGACAGACGGATGGACGGACAGGGCAAAAACTATATACCCCCGAATCTTCGATACGGGGGCATAAAAATAATATCCAAGTCAGTAAAATCCTGGGTTTTTTTTCATTATTATGGAATTACATGACGTCACCAAGCGTGACTAAAAATATTCAAATAAGATCTATCGGTTAGAAAAAGAGATATTAGCAAGAGATTTTTTTTAAATGTATAAAATGAGTCTTGTCTATTTTTGGTGCCTTTATGTGGACGTACCAGGAGCATCTTTTTAAAATTATCACGTGCTTCCGGGTTGATTATCCTATTAAGAAAAAAACCTTTAAAAAATGAATTAGCCTAGATTTAAATTTAAAAAACAACAACAATATTTTAAAGATTTATTAATTTTAATAAATTTTTTCACTTGAGGAAAATATAGTTCATCTAGAAGAAAAAAAATTGTCCAATAAAATACGTTTACGCAAACAGTACAACTGTTTCTGTCAGACCGACCTGTGTAATTGAGGGCCAGGGAGGCATGTGATGTTGTCTCGTAACACGGTTTTCCTGATTATTGCTCTTTGGTAAGTGCAGAAGTTTCCAATATTAAATTGAATTTTTTTTCTTGACATGGGCTATTGAAAAATTAATATTAATGAATACTTTATGTAAAATCTCCAAAATTTGCAACAAGCGAGTGTTAAAATTATTCGTCTATGAAATGGCATGCGCACAGTTAAAGAGGGCAAAAATGATCATTTCTTCATGCTATAATTTTTCTATATAAGTGGGTCTTCGCTCCATTTTTTTAAATTCAAGTAAATATTCAAACTTGCTTACTAACTAAGTACTCTTCATGTTGGTCAGCGCATAAGACCGTCATCAGAGACTGCCATGTTGGTCTATCTTGTGTCCATCTCTGGACCTATGCCTCCATGACCGATTGTTTTCTTTTTTCTTTCTCCACCGATCTTCTCCAGGTCTCTTTTGGTCTTACTCTCTTTCTTTACCTGTTGGCGTCCATTCAAAGCAACCCTTGGGATGGAGGTTGGGTTTATTCTACATGCAAATGTGTCCTATCCACAGCCATTTTCTTTTCTTTATAACTTAGGATAGAGGAGTGGTGTTAGTCCTTTTGTACAGTTCTTCATTTGAGATGGTATTAGGCCAGAATATGCGTAATATTCTGCGAAGGGAACAGGTTTGGAAGGCATCTAGCTTGTTTGAAATGGCCCTTGTTACTTTCCATGATTCAGCACCATACAGGAGGAGCCCAACACATTACTCTTGAAAATACTAATTTTGGTATTTATGCTGATATTTGCGGACCTCCAGATGCTCTGCAGTGCAACATACGCCCCTGTGGCTGTAGAAATGCGAGCTAGTACATCTACCTCAGAATTCCCATCTGTGGTGATCTTACTTACTAGATATATCTTCAAAGTATCTTTAAAATATACATATTTTGATTGACAAAAACATGGAGGAAAAGACGTTCGTTCCTGGGCTTTTGAGCAGATTTTTGCCTTGACCTTGGCCTCTGTTTAAAAAAAAATCTGCATAAAGTTTTAATTCTTACAATAGATTTGGATTCTACAATGCTAATCAAACTAATTTCAAATAAAACCCTGTGATTAAATTCCACACTGAAAGCATTAAGTAAGAAACTATATTTTGTGGCGAAAGTTTTTTTTAGAAGAAAATGATCAATTCTTCTCTTTCGAAGTATTTACAGTATTGTTAAGTTTGGTTTCTTATCTTTACATGCAGCCTGGACACAGGGTTATTTTGTGCAGTGAAATGTTTTATGCTGGTCCTAAATTATATAATAAATTAACTGTCATGAATTCTATCTCTGATCATATTTGACAAATATATTAAATATATTGTGAAAGTCCTGGGGGAAAAATAGCCTCATTTTCCATGTTTACATGGAAGTTAAAAGTAATCCCAAAGTTTTAATTTTTTGTTCAAATTCTTGAAAATTTGGCTAAATCGGTCTTGAAAAATAACTAGAAAAAAAGTGACCAAAAACAAACTAATTCAATCTAAAATGCTGGAAAATGTACCATCGTGAACCATTTTTAAGAAAATTTCTCGGGGGAGGCCCCCCGAACACCCACATATGGGAGGGCGACACCCCCTCCCATGACCTCCCCTTTCGACCCTACGGGCCTCAACACCCCCCCCCCCCCCACACACACATGAACCTTTGGATCCGCCACTGTTCTAAGTTCAAGGGGGTTAACTGTCAAAAATCATCAAACCACAACTAAATTCTAACTTGACCTGTATTTTCTGGTCAAATACCTGCATATGCAATTTCAACCGTATACATATATCCCTACAAAAGTTAGAGAGAGGAAACAGAAAATTTCTTATTTTTTTCTATTTCAAGAGGGATAACTTTGTCAAAAATCATCAGACCACGACCAAATTCAAACTTATACATACATCCCTACAAAAGTTAGAGAACAGAAACTGAAAATTTCTTATTTTTTTCCTAAGTTCAAGAGAGAAAACTCTGTCAAAAATTATCGGACCATGACCACATTCAAGCTTGACTTGCGTATTCCTATGACGTCAAATATTGAGTTGAATGCCTGTGCAACTGTTGCCGAGATAATGAATGGAAATTTTAAGTCAATGATGACAGAATGACGGAACGGGGTATATAACACTATATGCCCACGACAATTTTGTGGCGGGGGCATAAAAATACACAATTAAACTAGATTTTAGTGCCGCTACCCGTTATGAGCCGTGCAGTATAGTGGTTAGCGTGTCAGCATAAGAAACACTCAGGTTTAAATCCCAAAAATCCTTAACTCTCTTTTTAAACATTGAATAATTTTTGCTAAGAGAATTTTTTGCAGGAATTTTTGGTTGTCATAATTTCATACCAATAATTTGAAATTTTCTCCAAGCAAAAATTAAATTTGATTTTTATACATTTGAAGCTATAAGTATTTTGCACGCCTTGTTCATCTATTTTCTTTTGTCCCACTTTGTGGTACTTGCGCTACTTTCCAAAGGTGCTGTCTTTCTTAGTATATACTATAGTTTACAAACACTTTTTAGGGGCTTAGCGTCGTATATTCGTATATGAATAATTATGGTGATTTTTACAGTAATTTATACAAAGGACGAATGGGGGGGGGATATGTACCTAGAAATTCTGTTGTCGAAAGAATATGTTTTGGATTGTAAGTCGTGCTTCAATTCAAATTTGAATCATCTTTAAAAAGAAGATGAGAGAGTTAAAATTCAAATTATAAATGTAATTTATATTAAAAACTAAATATTCAAGAATGTTTGGTATGCTATGCATTTCTGATTCGGCGAAAGACTTCATATTACAATGAAAATAAAATTACTTGCTGGTAAGAAGGGGGGAAACCTGGAAACAAGGATCTGATTTTTTCATGAAATGAATGCACATTCATACCTAAGATAAGCAGACAAATTGCTCGTTAAATTGTCGCTCTTTATTTAACCAAAACTAATCACAAACGCACCAAGAACTCTAGTGAAAGAAGGTATCTTTTTTTATTTTCAGGGACCTAGCATAAAAACAACCCATATTATAGCAATCAATTTAAACAGATGTCGATAAGAACCAGCATTATTTACATACTTGTGTACAGTCCCGCATGTAATGAGGGAACTCCAATTTCCATTTTAATTCGATCGAACACTGCCGACATCATGAAACTCGGAAGATGAACAGTTTGGTATCTTATCTTCTATTAGTTGGACTACTGCGCAACTTGGGTGAGCATTTTTTTCTCATTTTAATATCAACGGCTATGCGTGTCATATTTTAGATTTCAGATCTATATTTTAATCATGTATACGTCTCGTTAATTAAGGATATGTAGCCCCCCCCCCCCCCCCCCTGTTCACTTATAAAAATTTTGCTTTATCGCTAACGATTCTCCAAAACAAATCTCATTTACAAGTAAAATGCGCACAATATTTGTATACCTTACTGAGTATAGCATTTGACAGATCTATACTTATAAATTAATAAATTTTGCAAATAAACTCCGAAACGGGTGCACCAGAATTCTTACTAACTCCTCTAAGTATACAATAGATACAAGATGATGTCCGTAAACTATATTTAGATTTCACTCGCATAGTTAGTATCGTACATTAAATTAAAAGTCTACCCTCATTTTCTATAAAAAGCCATGAAATAGCAAAAACATGAGTACGGTGGCGTTTCCGGTTGGCGGATCTAAGTTACTGGCAATTTTTAATGACACTGACAACAAGCAATCTTTTATTTATTTCATAAAACGTCACCACTGAATTATTCAATCAAAATTTGATTTAAATGATATGAAAGAAATAAGTCGTGATACCCGATTAAAAAGAGAAATGTGCAAATTATTTTCGTCATTCACCGATCTTAATATTGAAGGAAGCTTCTAGAAGATCATATAGCATCGAGCCCGTTGTTAAAAAAAACACCAGGCGATTATACTGCATGAACATAAAAAAAGCTTTTGTGTGAATGGTCATTGAAATAATGGTAAATCATTGATAACACTATAAGTTTTGAATATATTTATAATAATAGTTTTAACGTTCTCTGTGTAATAGATATAGTCCTTAAGCATTTTAATTAGATTATTTGCAAAGAAATGCCTATACCGGGCCTTAACTCACCTGCGTGTTTTTAATTAAGGACATTCTGATAGCCAGAGCAATCAATTAATGAATAAGCAGTTACTTACTGTTAAACAATTTAACAACCACCTAGCGTTTGGTCAAGTCAAGTTAAGTTAAGTCAAGTTCTTTATTTCTTTGCGTCATACGACACATCAGATTACATATATAAACATATATACAATATTGTAAAATATAACAATATGAGAGTGAGCCTAATCAATAAATAGCAAGTAAACTATGTAGGACGTGTTTTCTAACAGGCAACTGTAATTATAAAACACTAAAAATTTACAAATGTTTCATTCTTCTAGTGGAAGCTTGATATAAATATTTTCCAAGGTTACAAAGTTCCTTTATATTTTGTACACTTAGAAGTTGAATTAATTTCCAAACACTGGATTTCTTATAATAATACTTTTTCAAATACTTAGATCTAAGGTCATGATAAAAAGGACATTGTAAAATAAAATGAAATTCGTCTTCGATAACATTCAAAGAGCACATTTTACATAATCTGTTTTTTCTAATTTCATTAACATATCTACCAGTTTCAACATTTAGATTATGTGCAGATAGTCTAATTCTAGCAATTTGTATTTTGTACATATAATTAATAGGTTTACGCAAGTAATATTGTATACCAAAATTATCAACCAAATGTTGGTATAGCGGGCTACGGGCATTGCTACAAATATTAGTAATCATAGTATGATTATTCACCTCAAGGAATCTTTGTTTTACTAACATGTAAGTATTATCATTGAAATCTGCATCAAATATATAGCCAAGTCCCAGTTTATTAAGTTCATTTTGAATATCTCTGATCCAACTATCGTTATTCCTTAATCTTTCTTCCAAGCATGATTTTAGTAGAATATTTTGTGTCCCCTTTAGTTTCAAAAAATATTTTATAATTTTCAATTTTCTAGATTCCCTCATAGGCATTCTTCCAAGTTCGAAATACACAAGATTGTTACAGGCACTTTTTTTTAAACGAAGTAACTTTTTACAAAAGAGACTTTGTATTTTTTCTACATCTGGAGCTTTATGAAATCCCCACACCTCTGCTCCATAATTAAGAATACTACATACATACATTTCAAAAAGTGATATTTGAGTTTCGACATTAAAATCAAAGTTTTTAATTTATATATCGAAAGACTATTACATATGTGTAGTAGGTTTTCCTAATAAATTTATCGGTAAAATCATCACCGAGAGCATAGTGGCAACGAACCCGAAGTACAAGTTTACTCCGTAATAAACTTGCTTACATGAAAAGAGAAAATTAATGAATAAGGTATTGTTCAAATACAATTAAAGCTGTAAATTTTTGTGCTTTAGTCAATACATTTCAGTTCTTTTTTTCTGAATACAGTCTTTTGTATCAAATACTCGGCCTATTCATAGGACATTAAAAGCTAACCCAACCCAACCCCCCAACCCCCGAAAAAAAAATCAATTTATTAATAAAATGTGCATATTCACTGCTTTTTTCCTTGACGGAAATGAAATAAAAGCACCTGAAGTGCAATATCCATAACTATAACATAGTATAACAGGTTTCACAATAAACGTCAATTAATGAAATAGTTATTTTTCAAGTTTTTTTTTACAAAAAGGGGGGCGTACATCTACTTCATCCGGGATTTTGAACAAAGTACTTCTTCCTGCTATAAACCTGTAGGTTGTCAGTAGAAACTACAATATATATCATTGGAACTTTTCTTTCGGTAGTGGTATAAATTTAATTCCCCGCGCTTGCGCGGGATTTCATCTAGTTGTATTTTATTTTGACAGTGAGAGCAATTTATACAAATTAAAGTTATCGATTCTCTAATCATTTTAGGTCAATGTACCTTGAAATTGATAACATTGACTAGGCATGGTTGAACCTTATTTATTTAATTATTTTGAAATATCATGATTTGCAGTGCTTTTAATTAAGGTAAGTCGCGGGTGTACTTTCTGTCTGAAAACAGACACTGAAAATTTGTCAGCTAAATCCCACCATTATGGGATCCGGATAGGGCCATGTAGTTCATTATCGCATCATCGAGGTTTGGGTCGATAGTGCGATGACGCGATAATGCGATGACGATGAAGCGATCATGCGAGGACGATGATGGCATGACGCGACAATGCGATGACGATGGTACGATGACGATGAACCGATGTTCACTATCGTGCTATCACACCATCGTCATCGCATTATTGCGGCATCACATCATCATCGCACAATCGCTTTATCGTTATCGAGCCATCATATTATCGCGCCATCGACCTTTTAGTCGATTCTCGATGGTGCGATAGTGAACTATGTGGAACTTTAGGATTCCATACAGCAAACGTCTAAAATTTTATTTAGAACTGTTTTTTTTCTGCGTGATTATGTTGTATTTCAAATGCACCAAGGTTGATGAACACAGATGACGCTACATGTATTTCAATAAAATATATGGTAAAATGCACCTTTCACGCCGGTTAGCGCATTTCAGAATCATGCTAATCATTTTAAAATGAAGCAGACAAATTTATTTTACTTAACACAATGAATGTGAATATAATTTCGAATCAATCCACACCAAAAAATATGTGTTCTAGCTCAATTTCTTGCAAAAAATTGATTTTTACAATTTTTAATCAGAAGTATCATATTTTCATTACGGCGTCACGTTAAACTCTTTAGAACTCAAAGTGTTCATATATCTACGCTATATGTGACGTCACCTATAGGCATTGACAGGTTTGTGTCTAAGAGATGGTGCGGAGAGCGAGTAACGATTTGTTTTCACTAGAAAGTCAGGGTTTTAAATTTATTTTTCTTATTGTAACAATTCTTTGAAAAGTGAGATTCCATCCGTACCCAAAGCCTTCAGGTCGTTTTATAAAGCGATATGAAGGCCCATGATCCGTACATAATTTAATGTTCAGCATGCACGAGCAAAGCCGCTAAACATTTATTTCAATTTCGTTGAATGGAAGAAAAAACGAATATATTAAAATTAATAAAAATCTAAGACATCCAATTTTATTCCAGTTGCGCCTCTCCGGTGTTATGAATGTGATCTAATTGGAAATAAATCCGCCAATTCCTGTTTCGATCCACTGGATACTGACCATGATGACGTCAGAATAACAGAATGTGAAAACTCTCTATACAGTTGCATCAAGGCCAAGACTATTTTCAAAGACGGTAACGTGCATATGAATTCTTGCATTAAATGTTCCGATAATTTTGGGGATATTCTCAAAAACAACTACTGATGTACCGATTAATCGATTACATCGATTATAATTGAAATGGCCCCCGATTATAGAAAATCGATTAAACTTTTAAAAATCGATTAATCAAAATATTAGCTAAAAGTAAATTGTTCCTATGATTTCTTGATTCATTTTCCTTTGAAAGTAACTAAATCCTAAATAATGATATCATTAATTAATCCAATGATACAAAAAACATCAAAAATGCATTTTAGAAATCATTCCAGATTTTTTTTTACTTGTTTACTCTTTATTCAAAAATAAACAAATTTAATACTTGGAATTAATTGATTATTAATCGATTATAGTGTGTCCGATTATTCCGATAATCGATTATTTAAAAAAAATCCGATTTCCCATCACTAAAAACAACGACCGAGTTAAAAATAGTCACAAAAATATTACAGTTATATTTTTCAATATTGCAGGAGACGTTTTCTTTCAACGAAAATGCCAAAAAGTGAAGATAAAAAATTCCTGCAAACTGCTGCACATCAATGAGACGACATATTCTCTGACTGTGGAGTTGTGCTCGTGTCAGCACGATTTGTGCAATGCTGGGGAACATAGTCCAGCCCTCGCACATGAGCTCATTCTGTGGATATTTTTTCTTTGGGTAATTTTGAAAACGAAGTGAAAAGTAAAAACATCTCTTGACTACATTTTTTTCCCTGATGTATACATTTTTTTACTTGAAGTATTGTTAAAATTAAGGGGAAGAAATCAACAGTATGTTTGTAAAGTGTACATAAACTTGCAAAATAAAGATCTTTTTTATTTAATTCTGATGTCATCATGGTGACCTCAAACTGGTCTGGGTATAGGTGGAGCTTATTACTGTGTATATAAGTACATGTTTTTATGGAAGTCTGGCAATATTTCATAGACATGTATGAACAATTACTTTTTATACATTCACCAAAATTTGCAATTAATTTTGAAATATTTTGACTCATTTTCACATAGCTTTTAATTTTAGCAAAGTCATTTACATTAACTGCGTGTTACGACTTACAAATTGGAAGATTAATTACAAAGAAAGTTTTCGCAACATAACTTAAGTTCCGAATAACATTTTGGAATAAATAAATTGTTTCCACAAGATTAGATACAATATGAATTTATTAATCTGTCGTGGTTATTTAGCTAGGCTTAGTGAACTGCGGATCGTAGCCCTATTGTCGAAAAAGCCTGAACCTTCTATCCTTTTTCTTTTCTTTATAACTTGGGATAGAGGATTGGTGTTAGTCCTTTTGTACAGTTCTTCATTTGAGATGGTATTAGGCCAGAATATGCGTAATATTCTGCGATCGAAGGCAACAGGTTTGGAAGGCATCTAGCTTGTTTGGAATGGCCCTTGTTACTTTCCATGATTCAGCACCATACAGGAGGAGCCAAACACATTACTCTTGAAAATACTAATTTTGGTATTTATCTGTTTATGCTGATCTTTGCTGACCTCCAGATGCTCCGCAGTGCGGGAACATACGCTCCTGTGGCTTTAGAGATCCGAGCTAGTACATCTACCTCAGAATTCCCATCTGTGGTGATCTTACTTACTAGATATATCTTCAAAGTATCTTTAAAATATATATATTATGATTGACAAAAACATGGAGTAAAGTCCCACTCTACCTTAAAAAACTAGATGTGTCATAATGCCACAAATGTAGCCATTTTTAAATCTTTTTCCAAGTTCAAGGGGGATAACTGTCAAAAATCATCGGACAAGGACCAAATTCGAACTTGACCTGTATTTTCTGGTAAAATACCTGCATATGCAATTCCAACCTTATGCATACATCCCTACAAAAGTGAGAGAGCTGAAATTAAAATTTTCTTATTTTTTCTACATTCAAAAGGGATAAATCTGTCAAAAATCATCAGACCACGACCAAATCCAAACTTGATCTGTATTATCTGGTAAAATACCTCTGCTCCTGGATATCCAGGAGGCAACAGAGTTCAAAATTATATTAACTGAAGCAAATTAGAGTTATTCACATTTACAGAATTATATTAATTAAGAAATCCTTGTATGTACCTGCACATGCAATTTCATATACATACATCCCTACAAAAGTATTAAAGAGAGCGGAAACTGAAAATTTCTCATTTTTTTCTAAGTACAAGATTGATAACGCTGTCAAAAATCATCGGACCACGACAAAATTTGAACTTGACCTGTATTCTTTGGTAAATACCTGCACATGCAATTTAAACATTAATACCTGTATATGCAATTCCAACCTTATATATACATCCTACAAAAGTCAAAGAGCGGAAACTGAACATTTCTAAGTTTAAGAAGGATAACTCTCTCAAAAATCATCGGATCAGGACCAAATTCAAACTTGACCTGTATTTTCTGGTAAAATACCTGCACACATGCAATTTCAACCATATAAGTTAGAGAACGGAAGCCGAAAATTTCTCTTTTTTTCTAAGTTCAAGAGGGATAACTCTGTCAAAAATCATCGGATCATGACCAAATTCGTTCTTGACCTGCATATTCCTATGACGTATCCATATGTTAAATTTGAGTTGTTGCCGAGATAATGAATGGAAAGTCAATGATGACGGAATGACAGAATGAGGGAACAGGGTAACACTATATGCCCCCGGCCATTTTATGGCGGGGGCATAAAATACACTTTTTATGACACAAAATTAAATTCATATCTTTCCGAGAAATATTTGAAGGTCAGTTATACAAGGGTCATACCACAAACCAGATTTTAATGCCGCTACCCGTTATGAGCCGTGTATACATATAGTGGTTAGCGTGTCAGTATAAGAAATACTCAGGATTTTTATCGCTCAGGTTCAAATCCCAAAAATACGTAACTTTTTTTTTTTTTTTTTACCATAGAATAATTTTTGCAGAGAGAATTTTTCTGCAGGAATTTTTGTTTGTCATAATTTCATACCTTCTAATAATCTGAAATTTTCCCAAAGTACATATATGTAGTTCACAAATTAAATCTGATTTTTATCCATTTGAAGCTATAAGTATTTTGCACGCCTTGATCATCCATTTTCTTTTTTGGCACTTTGTGCTACTTGTATATTTCCAAAGGTACTGTCTTTCATAGTATATACTAATTTAGAAACACTTCTGAGGGGCTTAGCGTCGTATATTAGTATATGAATAATTATGGTGGTTTTTACGGTAATATACACAAAGGACGTATGAAGGGGGGGGGGGGGGTATGATGTACCTAGAAATTCTGTTGTCGAAAGAATATGTTTTATATTGTACGTCGTATTTCAATTCAAATTCGAATCATCATTAAAAAGAAAATGAGAGAGTTAAAATTTAATTATAAATGTAATTAACATTGAAAGCTAAATATTCAAGAATGTGAAGTATGCTATGCATTTCTGATTCGGCGAAAGACTTCATATTACAATGAAAAAAAATACTTGCTGGTAAGAAGGGGTAAAACCTGGAAACAAGGATCTGATTTTTTCATGAGGTGAAATGAATGCACATTCATACCTAAGATAAGCAGACAAATTGCTCGTTAAATTGTCGCTCTTTGTTTAACCAAAACCAATCACAAACGCACCAAGAACTGGGTATCTTTTTATTTTCACGGACCTAGTACAAAAACAACACATATTACAGCAACCAATTTAAACAGATGTCGATAAGAACCAGCATTATTTACATACTTGTGTACAGTCCCGCGTGTAATGAGGGAACTCCATTTTTCCATTTTAATTCGATCGAACACTGCCGACATCATGAAACTCGGAAGAAGATGAACAATTTGGTATCTTATCTTCTATTAGTTGGACTACTGCGCAACTTGGGTGAGCATTTTTTTTTCATTTGAAGAAAATGCTTGTGGTTTGAATATCAACGGTTATGCGTGTCATATTTTAGATTTCAGATCTATATTTTAATCATGTATACGTCATGTATACTTCTCGTTAATTAAGGATTGTAGTCCTTCTGTTCACTTATATAAATTTTGCTTTATCGCTAACAATTTTCCCAAAACAAATCTCATTTATAAGTAAAATACGCACAATATCTGCATACCCTACTGAGCATAGCATATGGCAGATTGTATTTTATTTTGACAATGAGAGTAATTTATACCAATTATTTTGAAATTAAGAGGCTTCATGATTTGCAGTGCTTTTAATTAAGGTAAGTTGCGGGTTTACTCTCTGTCTGAAAACAGACACTGAAAATTTGTCAACTAAATTCCACCATTATGGAATAGTGAACTATATGTGGCCCTTTCAGGATTCCACACCTTTTCAGAATCATGCTAATCATTTTTAAAATGAAGCAGACAAATTTAATTTTACTTAAGACAATGAATGTGAATATAATTTCGAATCAATCCATACAAAATAATAATATGTGTTCTAGCTCAATTTCTTGCAACAAAATTGAATTTTTACAATTTTTAATCAGAAGTATCATATTTTTATTAAACTCTTTCGAACTCACAGTGATCATATATAGATCTACGCTATATGTGACGTCGCCTATAGGCATTGACAGGTTTGTGCGGAGAGGGAGTAACGATTTGTTTTCACTAGAAAGTCAGTATTTTTAAAAAAAATTTCTTACTATAACAACTCTCAAAAAAAGTGAGATTCCATTCTTACCCAGGCCTTCAGGCCGTTTTTTAAAAGCGATATGAAGGCCTGTGATCCGTATATAATTTAACAGCATGCACGAGCAAAGCAACATAACAACATTTATTTCAGTTTCGTTGAATGGAAGAAAAAACAGGTATATTAAATTTAATGAAATTTAAGACATGCAAATTTATTCCAGTTGCGCCTCTCCGGTGTTATGAATGTGATTTGATTGGAAATAAATCCGCCAATTCCTGTTTCGATCCACTGGATACTGACCATGATGACGTCAGAAAAAAGAATGTGAAAACTCTCTTTACAGTTGCATCAAGGCCAAAACGATTTTCAAAGACGGTAACGTGCATTCTTGCTTCAAATGTTCCGATAATTTTGGTGATATTCTCAAAAACAGCGACCAAATTAAAAATAGTCCCAAAAAAATATTACAGATATATTTTTCAATATTGCAGGAGACGTTTTCTTTCAACGAGCATGCGAAAAAGTGGAGTTAAAGAATTCCTGCAAACTGCTGCACAGTGTGACAATATATTCTCTGACTGTGGAGTTGTGCTCGTGTCAGCACGATTTGTGCAATGCTGGGGACCATAGTCCAGCCCTCGCACATGAGCTTATTCTGTGGATATTTGTTCTTTGGGTAATTTTGAAAACAAAGTGAAAACTAAAAAATCTATTGACTACATTTTTTCTGATGTATACATTTTTTACTTGATTTGTATAGTGTACGTAAACTTGCAAAATAAAGATCTTTTTATTTAATTCTGATGTCATAATGGTCTGGGTATAGATGGCGCTTATTACCGTGTATATAAGTACATGTTTTTATGGAAGTCTGGCAATATTCCATAGATATGTATGAAAAATGTCTTTTTATACATTCACTAAAATTTGCTATTAATTATGAAATATTTTAACTCATTTTTACATAGCTTTTAATTTTAGCAAAGCCATTTACATTAACTGCATGCGTGTTACGACTTCAAAATTGGAAGATTTAAAATTACAAAGAAAGTTTTCGCAACATAACTCTAGTTCCGAATAACATTTTGGAATAAATAAATCGTTTCCACAAAGTTACAATATAACTTTACTAATGTGTCATGATTAGTTAGCTAGGCTGAGTAAACTGCAGATGGTAGTAGTACGCTACAACCCGAATGACATGTTTGTCATAAGGCTTCTTGCGGAATAAGATGTCGGGGACATTAACATTTTATACAGTCACTACAAATGTTGTTCTTGTGGACCGTAATTACTTTGAACTTGTTCCGGACTTATACTGATATCAGATTTACACGGTTTGAGTGTTATGTTGCTTGTAAGTGACCAATCCTTGGACCCTCAGTGGTCACCTTATATCCAATGGTATGCTTTCTTGTCATAGAAACAAAGATTTTGTATCAGAATAATTCAGAAAGAATCATATTGTTTATTTACTATCTCAAAACATGCATTTCAACTTTTCACATTTTTGACTGCAACAAAATCATTGAGCAAATTTCAGCCAAACATGGCACAAAGTATACTTTATGAAGGAAATTAAAATTTGTGAAATGAAACGATGTCCAATTTTTAGGAGATATAATATATAATATTATTCCAGTAATAACCATTACATTCACAGGCTACTATGGTGGGACTACAGTGGGAACTTTTGTTTACTTTTTGTTAAACTAATCGTGATATTCAGCATATTTTAGGGTTGAAATTATTCCATTGCCATTATTAACGTCTTTTGACCTCAATTTTTTTTAGCTGCAGAAAGTTGAAATATCACATGAATAAAACGTTTCACATAAATAAACGCTCATTTGTAAACACCACAGAATCCAGACACAGTATACAATGTACCTCCATAATAATGCTTCAAAGATATCATGTGGGTAAAGTGTACATAGAACGATAGTCCGATTCTCTGACTGAAACAATATACTGATCGATAGAAGGCTGAATTCCTCTATCTATTCTTTTAAAGTGTTTAAATTTATACATTAGTTTACATTAGTTTACACTAATTAATGATCTGTTTTAATGAGTGAAATACATTTGAGCTACATATTAATAAGTGCCTATTTTACAAATGTTTAATACATTATACGTTACAATAAGTAAAAATTCTCAGATGACTAAAAAGCTTTATTTAATACAAAGAAAACAACGTCCGTCTTAAGAACACAACTTTTTCAATGACCATACATTGTTTTTTGTAAATTCCGACTTGAATTCGACTTTAATTAATACAATGTTTAGAACATTTGTTTCACGATAACATTTATGTTTTATGTGAATATATCAGCAAGTATACTCGCTATTGTATCACGTTCTCTATTGAAATGGTCATTATAGACACGGAAAGCCATTTTACATGTTATTTGCATTAGACAAATGGACAGCAGAAAGCTGCCTTAAGGCCAAGGTAAAACAGTGTGTGGTTATTGCATACAAATGAACAAATTAAAAAAAAATATAAAAAATTTTCATACATACCATTGCTGACATATACAAAGTATATAAATTTTCTTATCAAGAATTAATTTTTGAAAATATGTATTTTGATTATTCATTTTAACATGACATTACATTGTAATTCAATGCCAGTCAGCGAAGGACAGGGTGATATTCAATTTAGTCATTTTTATCCTTGACAGCAAATCCAAACATATGCAAAAAAAAACAAAGAATAAATTTGTTTCTAAATACTGTTTGAATTCTCCAGGCAAATACAACCCTTACTATATATATATAGTATATTCAGAATGAAAAACAATAGTTTCAATTTTCTTGGCCTGAGATCCGTTATTTGACGGTCTATACACCATTTTTTCGCCCTTTGTACCACCTACGATAGGATATTGGTGTTTTGACCAATCATCAGGTCATTAACAAGATAGTTGTTTGTTGAAGACCAAAAGGATCATCAGAAAGAAGAGGCTCATAAGGCACACCGGAGGTTCCTAAAGATTTCTACAAACATGAACAAGCACTCTCTAATAATTTTCTTGACCACCTGTATTGTGGCATCTTCGGCTTGGCATCTTCGGGTGTCGTTAAACGACATTTTTAAGGGGCAATGTCGAACAGTCAGCCCTAGGGTGTGTCGGAAAAGTTTAGGAAATATCGATCCTGATTACAGTTGTGGATTTATATTAAGGAGTGTCTGTGCTGGAAAGAACAAGATAGAGAGGGTTCGAGTCCGCCGATCGTCAATAAAGGTAAGCGTGGCGATTAAACCATTTTTATGAAAATAAAAATAATGTAAATGACTTCCATAAAATGATTTTTATCAACAATGTCCTTTTAAGGGATTTTCACTCCCTTACTTAAAATTTCAAATTTAATACCTCTGTCATGTTGTAAATTTTGAATTCACTGAGGGCAGGAAATACAAAATTTACAACTTGTAAATTTAGTATTTACTGCCACCTGGTAAATTCAAAATTTAAAACATTACACCTCTAATGCTGGAATCTTCCATTCTCTTAATATTTTTTTTTTTAATTTTGACATTTCCAGAGAAAATCTCTCTAGTTTCATATGCCCTATTACTAATATTTTAGTAATCATTGACAAGGACGCCGATTCTATTCACAAAAATTGAGAAGCACCGACATTTTCCCAATTTTATTACAAAAAGTCAAAATCTTAAATAACTCTCCGGTATTAATCAGGATCTTAGTCCTTTGAATATATCGCTCAAATCAAGTTAAAACTTAGTGAAGATTTAAAAACAAATATAATACAGTGCTAGTTAACAGAGATCAGGCCTTATATGTATTTTATACCTCTTAAATCAGTATTTATAATTGCTTTGTTTTCAGCCAAATCATGAACACTCTCTCCACGTCACACCGCTTCCAAAGAAAATGGCGTTCTATGACGCGAACTCTGATGGACAAATCACCGTTAAGGAGTTTGCGCGAACTCTGGGTCACGACCCGCGAGCCTTTCACGTCAAAGACGCTTTCAAAGTGGCAGACCTCAACAGTAAATACTTATACTTACTTTGACATGATTAAATCATGATTCTATTCCATATCATTAATTTTGACCTATAGTTGTCATTTTGTTATTATAGGTGATGGTGCAGTGGATGCATTCGAATTTGAAAATGACGCTTGGATTTTTAATGACGATTTTGACGATGATGGTAACGTAATCCTGTCCGCTTTCACGAATACGTTCAAGCACTTAGATGAACATCTTTATATATAATGTCAAAGCACATAATCAATTCTCTCTGCATCTCTTTATATTTGACGCATGTATTATCCTTTTGTCGAAAAAGGTGTACTAAGAATGAAAGTGTGTGTACAAGTACCCATGTTCCCTAAATTTTATTTAATTTCCCATGTTTATTTATTTCAAACGGGGCACATTTTTATTATTTGCAACAGACTATGACCTTGAGGATACAGACGTAGAATCCTACAAATCTGTAAACTTTGACCTCCTTGATAGCGAAGAAGACAGTTCCAGTAGCGAGAGTAGCTCAGAGTCATCAGCGCACAGTTCCGGCGAGTCTGCTTCCGGTGACGATAGTCATGACAGCAACGACGTGTCCTCGAGTGGTGATGACAGTAACGACGATTCAACGAGTGGAGACTCAAACGGTGACATTTCAGGTGACAGCGATTCAACAGATGATAGCAATGGCAGTCATTCAAACGACCACAGCACTGATGATAGTGGCGACGACTCCAATGACGATAGCACAGGAGACGATGACAGCAATAGCAGTAATTCAAATGAAAGCTCAAAGGACGGTGATAGCAAAGATAGTGACAGCGATAGCAAAGAAGATAGCAAGGACGACAGTGACGAAAAGACGCATGACAGCAAGCACAAAGAGGAAGTATTGCCCGATATGGGGGATCTAAATCTGGAAGATATCGTCCCAAAAGAAATAGAACTTGGTGACGGGGTTATTGGAGAGGCCATAGATAATGTCATCGGAGATGGAATGGAGTTAGAAGTTCCAGAATTGGAGGCTCCAGATTCCGACACGTTGAAAAATGTTGGCATTGCAATGGCATTGACCAAGTTCCAACCTTCGCAAAACCAGATACATTCCAAAGTCGGAGGTCAGTCCCATGCTGTCGACGATCACGCAAACCATAATCATAAAGAGTATGATTTCTCCAAGGGTCAAGGCAATTTCTTTGCTTCAGCCATGAATCCCAAACCAACAATGTTGTCCAATACCCTTCTTGGGATAAGAGGATCGGGCTCGGGATCCAGGATGAGATCAGGTATGCCACAGGGAAGTGGTGGTGATTGGGTAGTGTTTCAACCAAAACCTATAATTAATGATAATTTCAACGGACTCACGCCCGATTTTAATTCAGCATTTTAGTTGCTACGAGACAGTCAATGTTCACTCTCATAATTTCATTTTTTTTTTCAACAAAATATGTTGATACAAATTTTCTTACCAGACATAAATGATTATGAATAGTAGCTAGTAGATTAAAAAAGTAATGTGTAACTTTGCAATGTGTTTTGTACAGTGGACAGCTCACAGGCCAGAGAAAGGTTCAGTTCTATAGCAATGAATAACAGACGAAGAGTTCCGGCGTCACTTTGGCCGTCATGGATCGTCTCGTAGCAACAGCAAAAATACTATCCAATCACAGAAAACAATCCAAATGAAAGATATGTCAGCTGCTAAGCTACAAAAATGGAACAATTAGACATTTCTTTTTAAGGTGTATCATTATTTTTTTTTTAATGTTCCGAACTCATAATCAAATATTTATTCAGCCTGTTTGGGGCAAAAACATGGCAGTGTATACAAATCGTTGTGTCAAATTTTGTGTTGAACTAATATTCTTGTTTTGTGTTTTGTCAATAAACGTACATAAAAACACAAAAGATCGTTCTGCATTAACACTTAATTTGCAGGCAAATACTACTACTTTTACTTTCTTATACAATGAAAATATTTATTAAAATTAGATTTTGTTTTTCAAACACTTGTTCACCCAAGCCACCAATCCATTAATAGTATTCTTGTTAAAAAAAAAATCATGCAGCGTATTCACGACCTTTAAACGTACGAAAAAGTTTTATCCACAAAAGATCTACTTCCGATTCGAATAAAGACAAAACAAGAGGCCCAAGGGCCTTTACGATCACCTGAGTATAATTCAGCTCTGTAAAGGATCCACAGAATGGTAATTTGATATTTATATCATAAAACAAAATAATCTGATGGTTGAAGATATGTTGCATAAAAACAAGTGAAATGGGACGATCAGGGATCAACAAAAGTATTAGTCTGGTATTCAGCAATAGCACAGAAAGCATTTATTTACTTGTCTGTATGTGACAGTACTAACTACACTTTATCACTATTACCAAACTAACAACACAGTTGTGTGTAAGTGTAAACACATTTCAGTGTACACACATAGTAAACCCAACAAATCCCTGATCTATTGGCCTCTCTTGGTCTTGCATGATTTTTAATGTATTTTTAATAAGGTATCTCTGTCTTATTTCTATTCATCTGTTATTTACAAGTTTACTTGATCATGAAAAACTATAAAAGCAGTATTTGCCTTTATTTAGTCATTTAAAAATCTTGCATAATTCCTTTTTTCGATTTACCTAATGTTACCAATTACATTATTTTTAGTGATAAATTATCATGGGTGACTTTACAAATGGGAATATCTTTTCTCAAAATAGAGTACATATATAAAGAGCAAGAGCCACTTAGGGCATTTTTTTTAGCCCTGAGAATTTCTGAAAAATCGAAACTGCTCAGTTTTGGTTGAAAATGCAGTATTTATAACTTGGATGCTTGGTGACCGTGAATCTATTGAACATGACGTAATTTTCTCTCTAGTCAATGCATTATGACGTCATAAAATACGTCATTTCTCCCATATCCTGTAAATTCCCTTAAAACTGGCCAAAATTTAAGGTAATTTTTCAATATTTCATATAGAGCACAACCTCTGATCCAAAATATGCAATTACATAATGAAAGATCTGTTTCTGAAGATCACAAAACATATTTTAATTTTTGGATCGTGGGGTGTGCTCATAATTTAATTCTTTGCTGAAGGTAGTCAAATACGCATGTTTTCTGCAAAATTCAAGAACATTGCATATTCTCAAAGCCTGTTTTCCAATACCTGGATTCTCAAAAAGAAATTTTGTTATAGGAAATGAAAGCGCTAAGTCTCTATTTTATTTTGATATATGAAATGGGACAGAGGGTGATAGTCAATTAATTGATATAAGGACAGGGTCATTTTATGCATAAAGTGAACCTAGCTCTTTCCCTACATGATCAATAGAGCCCTATCCAGAACAAGAACTCCTGACCCAGCGGACAAGAGTGTCACAAATCCAGTAAAACACCGGGCCCTGATCATCACAACTTTGTTCTCTGTAGATCCCTATGGAAAGAGAAGATTTTAAAAGAAATAATGCATGTTCACTATATGATCAATAAAGTCCTTCCTTAAAACAAGAACCCCTGAGACCCAGAGGCCTTGAATTTCCTAATTTTAAAAGAGGCACACAGGCTCATCATAGCTATGCACTCAGTTTGACTGCTAAATACCCAGGAGCAGAAAGGATTTTTTTTTTAAAGAATTAATGCATTTTCACTTTATGATCAATAGAGCCCCGCCATAACATCAGAGCCCCTGACCCAGGGGCCATGAATTTCACAATTTTGGAAGAAGCACTCTTGCTTATCATAATTATGCATTTAGAGAAGATGCTTTAATTCTTTAAAAATCTTCTTTGCTCTTGGGAATTTAGCAGACAAACTATACGATCAAAAAGGCTCTACACTTACACCAGAATCCAATTACCCAGGGCAATGAATTTCACAACTTTGAAAGAGGCACTCTTGTTCATCATAAAATGTGCTTAGTTTTCTCTGCATAAATACCTAGTTGTAGAGACGCTTTTTAAAGAATAAATGCAATTTTCACAACGTAACCGTTAGAGCCCCGCCCTAATTTCTGGACAGATTGGCCTTGAAATCCCGGATTTTGAAAGAGGCACCCTGGCTCATCATAGCCGTGTACTTAATTTAACTGCTAAATACCCAGGAGCAGAAAGGATTTTCAGAGAATTGATTATTTTCACTGAATAATTACTGATTTCCTAATGTACCTAGGAATAAAAATAGGAAATTCACTGACACGGGGGGCCATGACGGTTTCAGAAGAGACATTCTTGCTCATTATAATCATGCATGCACTTAGTTTGTCTGCTAAATACTCAAGAGAAGATTTTCAAAGAATTGATGCATTTTCAGTACATAATCAATTGAGCCCTGTCCTAACACTAATCCCTGACCCAGGGCTCATGAATTTCATATTTTAGAAGGCACATCCTTGCTCATCATATTCATGCACTTAGTGTGTCTGCTAATACACAGGAGCAGAGATTTCAAAGAATTAATACATTTTTACTATATGATTAATAGACCCCGCCCTAACACAGGAACCCTGATCAAGGGCCATGAATTTCACAATTTCGGAAGAGATACCCTTGCTTATCGTATCTACATTGAGGTATTTGATTTGTCTGCTAAGTACATGTATACAGGTAGGGGAAGATTTTTAAGGAATTCATGCATGTTCATTATATGATCAATATATCCCAACCCTATAACGGTACTAAAAAGATATAAAACCAAACAAACAACATTATTAATTTTTGAGTTACATGCAAAGAAAAAAGTATGAAATCAAAATTGTTTCCGTCAACTTCTCAATCTCTTTTTAATAATTTTATAACCCTTTTTCTGATCTTTATGTCAAATCGTGGGACCAGAGACATTTTGTTGCGTTTTCCTTGTAATTATTAAAAACAAATTATGTTCATCCAATTTAGAAAAAGAGTAGGACTTTTGTACCGTCTTTTATTGTATGATCTTAAAATCGAATCAAATCTTGTATACCTGTATTCCTGATAGTACGTGTATAAGTACACTTACTTCATTTTGATAGTACATGTATTTGGTCCATCTCCCAAATAATTTGATAAAATCTTGAATGCTGGGGTGCCCTATCAATTCCTTCATCTGATAATACACTTACCTACACCTATTAATAGTATACTCATGGTACTGAAAACTATAGAATGAAGATTTATGAACATAATGGGAAACCTGCCAATTTCAAGGACAACCAGGTATCAAGGCAAGTTCAAGTTGTATTCACTAACACAATTCCAATTATGGTCTGTAATTGCGCATATTTTGATAGAGAAAAATATTTGACACACTGATGTAATACAAGAAGATGGGCGAACAAGGAGTACAAAATGCCTATAGCTTCAAATGTTTAAATTAAAAATCAAATTCAAATTGTGAGTATTTAGAGCAAAGTTATTATTGAAAGACATGAAATTATGACAAACTAAACTTTTCTACAGAAAAAATTATCCGGGCAAAAAAAAAAAAAGAAGAAGGAAATTGAACCCTATTATTAAATATCCTGGGTATCAGCTAATTTTTTCTAGAGGCTGGCAAATTAACCACTATTCCACACAGCTCATAACATGTATCGGCATTTAATTATTAATTTATTATTTGTGATATAATCCTTGTATAACTAAACAAATATTTCTCGGAAAGATACGAATTTTGTGTCATAAAGTGTATTTTTAAGGAAGAGTGGTCCTTGTTCTATTAAATATACTTTGGATATATACTTTCAAAAATTAAGAGAAGACCCATTTACATAAAAAAATTGATAAAGTATGAATAAATTATCATTTTTTGCCTTCCTTGGTTTGCGCATGCTCTTTTATAGACGAATGATTTTAACATTTGTGAGATTGTTGCAAATTGTGACGATTTTACATATTTTATACATAAAGAATACATAAATGTGAACTGAAACAGAAAACTCTGTGTCATAATTGAGATTTAATTTTTAACTTTATTTATCGGAACTATAGGCATTTTCTTGGCTTGTTCGCCCATCGTCCTTTTTTTTTTTTTTTTTTACTTCTGAGCCTTAGTTTTGGTGACTCGTAATGAGAGATATAAGGCGGGAATTCTGGCAAGAGAGTGATATTTACATGTACATTTGGTAATATATGTACTTCTCAACCCTAAGTGGGAAATTTATTTGAAGAAATATATTTACAGAAAAATGTACCTAGGAATAAAAATAGGAAATTCCAGACAAGTTCATTCACCGACCATTATGTATCCCTATCTCGAAACCAAAACGTAAAAAATGTGGGATGGTGGTAAGGCTGGAAGGTTATGAAGAAAAAGCTGACAAAAAAAGAAAGAAAATACTTTGTTAGCGAAAGTGGAGAAGGGAGCCAAAGCTTAGGGCACATAAGTCTCCGTATCTGAAATGTCACTGACTGTATATTGTCGCCCCCATTCATTCATTAAAAAATCATTTAAATTGGAATCTCTCCGTTTCTGTCCGTAACTCTCTATAAGTCCTTCTTTTGCAATGAAAATTTAAATAATTACTCCTTATAGAAGACCCCTATTAATATTGACCTCAAAGGTCAAGGTTTTATGAATGATATGAAATGCGGATACATTTTAGGTTTCCGATGATATTGAAGTCTTATAGCTTCTGCAGTTAAAGGTCAATCTAAATACGTTGTATAGCACAGTATCTGAAGTTGCTCCAAATTATCTGTAAATGTCTTGTGTCATAGTCATTTCCATATTCATTAGGGGTGTGTTCATCATTCATTGGACATCCTCTATTTGAAGAAGTTCAAGCGATATTGCTAACTACCAAATATAAATAAGTGAAATGAAAATATTTTCTATGCTTCATTTAAAAATTAACTATTTCAATTTGACTTTATCGATCCAAAAAGTTGGAGAGATTTTACAGTGTAGATGCATCACATCGCATTAGATAGGTCTTGCAATGCCTGGTAATATGGCATACCTTGGTCTTGGGGGGTATCATCTTCTAGTTTGAAGTAATAAAGAGAACCCACTTTTAGGCGTCATAGATCGATAACTTGTATTTTTAGGGAATATTTTGAGTTTATACATTTTTCTACTTTCTGCAAAAACAGCTGTCAGACGAGTATTACACATTTTTCTCCATTCGAAAAAGGAAGTATGATCCATGCATTTTACATTGTCCAATGCATGGAGAAATGAACATACTAATAAAAAACAACTCTAAGAAAATTAATGCAAACTTTAAAATGAAATATCTTGATTTTTTTCTTATTATTATCAATTCATCCTAAAACAGATTCGTTCCCTTTAATTCTAATGAAAGAAAGACAACTCTAAATACATGAATTCCTTGCCTATTAATCAATACTTATTTGATATCATTTTTCGTTTTTGTTAAGTTTTAGAGATTGCCCCTTTACGGTATATAAAAATACTAAAACAATACTTCGTTATTTGATGTCTTTTCCCGTTTTTGTTGTTTTAGAGATTGTCCCTTTAGGATACATAAAAATACTATTTAGTATTTTTATATACCGTAAAGGGGCAATCTCTAAAACTTAGCAAAAACGGAAAATGATATCAAATAACGAAGTATAGCTATTGGATGATAAGCTAGGAATTCACGTATAATTACTAAATTATCGTGTCTAATAAAATTCTCAGAGGGGGGGGGGGGGGGGTAACCATCCATTCGTCAGGTTGTCTGTGGTTAAAACACGCAGGTTTGATGCAAGTACTTCGTCAAGTTGTCCGAAGCAAGGTATGTGTCCGATGCATGGTGAACTCACCCAGATCAGCTCTAAACTGCACGCAGTATGACTTCATAGCTCCAGAAGACGAACGATTCATATCTTACATGGTCATGTGTAAGTGAATTTTAATTTAGTTGAAGTTACTCTATAAGGATTCATGAAACTGTATGCATATTATATTGTCAAAGGAACTCGAAGATTAAGAAATAATTGGCTGAAAACAATTGGAGCTTAATATTATAATCAATGATTTCACTGAGAAAACTCGGTGGACAACTCCTCCACTTTTGTGAAAGCAGTGGGATGAGTTGGACACTTTCACAAATTTCTAGATCAACCTCTGCACCAGATGGGCCATTGGAATGTGGAGGAAATGGCGGAAGTTTCAGCGACTTCTGTTTACTCTGCAGTGCACGGACGTTTGGTCGCAAAGATTTATTATTGAGGTTTGCAATCAAAAAGCAGAAAGAGCACACGCTTAAACATTACACAATCGTGTCTTTGGATTGCGTGGTATTGAAATATTTGAAGTGAACTTTCTTGACCATACTGACGACAGATTTGCACACACACGCAAATTGCTCGATGCTTTTACACCAAGCCGTGTAGCTCCAGGAACCATTTTGCAACAGGTTGAACTTATACTACAAGCAAGAAACTCTATGGGGAAAAGGTGTTCGGAAGAAAGTTCTATTAATTCTTCAATAAAATGGGCCATTAAGGTCATTTTTGTAGGTAATTTTTTTTCACGTTATAACGCGAAACTTTCGCGAATAAACGCGTAACATTTGCGTTATGACGCGAAACTTTCGAGAAAAAAAAACCGCGAAACTTTAGCATAATTACGCAAAACTTTCGCGAATAAACGTGTAACTTTCGCCTTATAATGCAAAACTTTCGCGAATAAACGCGAAACTTCTGCATTATAAGGCGAAATTATACATATAAAGTCTTGTTACTCAGGACTGAAAGATAAGAAACATGAACGCAGACGTGGACTTCTATGAATTTATAAATGACATTTCTTCAGAAGATGTAAAAGAGAATTGAAGCGAAAAATGGATATATTAGTTTTGAGAAATTTGCATTTAATCTCAAAACCCTACTAATTAATAAAATGAATATTCCTTTAAAAATTTTGTTGTTTTTCACTTGTTGAATCCAAGAAATTATTCGCGAAGGTTAAGCGTTATAACGCGAAAGTTCCGTGTTTATTTGAGAAAATTTTGCGTTATAAAGCTAAAGTTCTGCGATATAACGTGAAATTTTCGCATTATAACGCGCAAAACATTTTTTTTACCTACTAAAATGAGCTCAGTGGGCTTTCGTACTTTAACATACATGTACTTTATATATCACATTAAAATTTCAAAATAGTGCAAAACATTTTTAGAAATCTACAAAATAATATTTTTGCCTTACTGAATATTGGAGTGAAAAAATAAATTATAATATGTAAGTCATCGCAGAATCTGAATCATGTAGACAGCAGTAAGACTAAGATAAATCGATCGACAGGGGATGCTCACTCCTCCATGGCACCTGATCCCAACTCTAAATTTTGAGGTCCATGTTTGATCTGCTCCAAATTTGCATCGTTTCATTGGACTTTCGAGATTGAATACTGTTCGTTATCTTCATATTTCATCGATCTTTTTCGTCATCATTAACATCTGCTATACACATGCATATATATTTTATTATATTATCAAGTTCTTAAATCAAAAATATAGAAATAAAAAGTTACGATAAACTTTCGTGAGGAACCAAAACTATTTGAGAGTCCCAAGGCAGAGATCAATATTTTGAAACCTTATTGTATATTTATAAGCGTCATTGTTAATTACATGTATATGCAAAAACATTTTGGCTACCAGTTAAAATGTAAGAGGAGTTTAATTTTGGAACAAAATTTTTTTAGATCCCCAGGAACCCTTCGGAAACAAATATTTTTGCATATCTACAAGAGTATGCCAGGCATATGTAAAATTTTGGCTGCCTCTAATAATGTAAAAGGAATAGACGACAGGGAAGTGTAATAGACGGTGACAGACAGACAGATGGACAGGATTACAGCAATTCGCATGAGTTTTCTTTAAAAACCTTTTTAAAAGTTTGGGTATACGAAATAGGTACTCGACGGAGAGTTTTGAGAAAATACTGATAAAAAAATTAGAAAATCCGAATGAACAATTTCAGAATGTAGAAATTTAGGTGACGAGCTAATATATTGGATAAAGGCCCCTATGGGTGAATTAAAAAAATGACCAGACATATATTATCAACCTACACTAAAAATTCAGGCTATATGAATAAATTTCTTTAGCTCAGCATGTGTCTCTTGACAGTTGCTTAATGCCTGCCAAATATCTTATTGATATCTTAAGAAACAAAAAAGTTGTGCCCAAAAATGATGCTAAAAATGTCAGGAGTGCAACACCTTTTTGTGACATTTTGAAAATTCCATATTTTTTGGAGATCTGTTACATAAATAAAAAATGGTTTATGTTGGAAATAAAGAGTTTTCTGATTAAATTCAATGTATTGACCTTTAATTTTAGACTGTTGTCTATTTTTCTTGACCAAGTTTTGGTGAAAAAAATGTTATAACAAGTGCAACAAATAAAATGTAATGATGCCAAAAAATGCTGAATTTAAAAATCTGTATGACAAATAAGTTACAAAAGGAATTTTGAAAGTATATAACAATATCTAATAGACCAATCAAAGGCTTAAAATGTTACTGTAAACCAACTTTTATTCGCGTGCGAGAAATATCGCGAGCTAATTTTACTCGCGAATATTAATAGCCGAGAACCATTTATTTTTCTTTGTATTGTAGAGAATGTTTCCTCGGTCGCGAAAATTAATCGTTGTGGATAGATTTTAAACCGACGAATCGCGAATAAAAGATGACACGAATATTAGTTGGTTTGCAGTATATGAATCACAAACAGCATTAATGAGAGTCAAATATCTGTGGATACCCATTTATGTCAGGAGTGCAACATCTGATATATGCTCTCCAACTTAATTGGGAAAACTTTAATCATTATACAATGTATTACTTTCTTTTTTGGAAAATAAGGATGTCAAAAGAACATATTTATAAAAAAAAAGTATCATTTACAGGATCTGTCTGTGTTTCAGAACCATATTTCCATGGTCAGAAGTGCAACAAATATTTTTATAAAGATTCAATTTGAAAGTTCAATGATGAACAGACTCCTATTCATACTATTAAGTATTTTTTGATCTATAAACATCTATTTGAAAATTTAAGTACTTAATGAGTTAAAGTTTTTTTTGTTTTGTTTTGTTTTTGTTTTGTTGTTATTTTATTTTAGAAATCTATTCTTTTTTTCAATTTCATCAGTGCAGTTGTGTTGTTATCTTTTCTTTTCATTTTTAAGAAATATTAAAAACAACACTAAAACAAGAGGCCCATGGGCCACAATGCTCACCTGAGTTACTTTGGCCCTGCTGTTCTTCACCTAACCCCCCCCCCCCTTGTAGATACTTATTGCGGCCACGCCCTACCCCCGGGAACCATGATTTGAACAATTTAGAATCTACTCTACCCAAGGATGCTTCCGCATATGTTTCAGCTTTTCTGGCCCAGTGGTTCTTGAGAAGATTTTCAAAGATTTTGCCTATATATTTCAATGTAAAACTTTGATTCCCTATTGTGGCCCCGCCCGATCCCCAGGGGCCATGATTTGAACAATTTAGAAACTAGACTATCCAAGGATGCTTCCACATAAGTTTCAGCTTTTCTGGCCCTGTGGTTCTTGAGAAGAAGATTTTTTAATGATCCCACCCTATTTTTGTCTTTTCTTGATTATCTCCCCTTATAAGGGGGGTTGGCCCTTCATTTTAACAATTTAAACTCCCCTTCACCCAAGAATGTTCTGTACAAACTTTGGTTAAAATTGGCTCAGTGGTTCTTGAGAAGTTGAAAATGTGAAAAGTTTACAGACGGACGGAGAGAAAGACAGACAGACAGACGGATGGACGACGGACAACAGGTGATCAGAAAAGCTCACTTGAGCTTCCAGCTCAGGTGAGCTTAAAATTGTAATAAAATTCAGAAAATTGCACCATGGCTTTACTGAAACAATAGAACCATGTTCTGATGTAATTTATTCTTCACAATTCTCTTGGTCAGGAGTGCAACAATTATCAGTTATCACATTTGAATAAATATAGACAAAAATTGATGAGTAGAATGTTTCTGGTTGAGCTCAATTGCTAACAGTGTTTGTCCCATGAAGTAAAATGTCCTATCAAATATACCTTTACTCAGTATCTTCCCAATATATTTTAAGCTAGTTTTACGACATTAATAGGGAATAATTTGTGATATAAAGCCAAGTTTAAACAATTTTATGCCTTTTAACCATGAAGTATCGGACTATAGATATTGCACAGTTTCATCACAACTTGATGTTGCCAAAAATACATGAATTTTTGTGTTTTGTGGTTTTAATTTTAAATCTTACTGCAGTCAGGAGTGCAACAAAATTGTTTTCTAATAATCAATGAACATCATCTCTCTTTACTACAAAGTAAATTACAGAAAATGATCGATACCATTTGTACACGTTGAAATTATTATGAATCAACAAATCACAGACATTTTTGAACATTTTATCTCAATTCACAGGATAGTTTTCATCATCAAACATAACATTTTTAAAAAAAATATATTACTTAAGCAAATACGCATATTTTGAAGTTATAGAAAATATAAAAACTTTCCGTAAATGATAGAAAAATATCAACAACGAACCACTTTATAAAATTAGAATGAGATATTGTGTGTTAAATTTTTTTAAACAATGTTTGATAAAAAAAACAACAAAAAAAAAACAAAAAAAAAAACATACCAGATGTCAGGAGTACAACAAAATAAGGTAAAATAGGATCACTAATCTAGTATATATTTATATATATATATATTTATAAGAAAACTTACATTATCAAACTTCTGTTTTGGCTTAGATTTGAAGAATTGACTAAATTAACTAGAATGTATATACAATAATGATGTCATAATTGAAAAAGATGTTATGGCAAGTTGATTTTTTTTTTAAATTTCAATTTGCTTGTCATTATTTTTTAATCCACCCATATACTGAAAAAGTTACAGCATAGAAAGTAATTATATTAATCCTATAGCATAGGAAGTAATGTTAATTGATTCTACAGACTTGCAAAAAAGATTCTTGAATTAAGATGTTTGTTGTTTTCTTAGTCGTTTTCTGAATTTAAAGTGGTTTTTTGTTTGGAGAAAAGACAGATCTATATAGATAATGAAGTACTCTTAAAAGGACCGGTGTCGGTAATTTGACACTTGGTAAAACCAGAAACAAAATGACTTTTTTAAATAACTGACAGTAGTTTAATATTTATTTTGCAGCTTTTTTTGTGCCCATAATCATGAAAATGTAATTGTCAATTTTGTGCATTTTTTTCACTAAAATGGATACAATTATAAATTTATCGAATTGAGAGTTATCTCTCTTGTCAAAAGGTCAATGAACCTTAAAATCAAACCTGCGCATAAGAACTTATTCATTCTGATGGAAGGTAAGTGACGTATAATATACACTAAAGGTGATATTTGTAGAGCTTTGGGGCCACTTCTCACACAAACGACAGAAATATCTTCAATATCGTACATTGTCGACATGCGTAATAGCTACCTGGTTATGAATACCTGTGTGACGGATTCACAGGCACCTGACGTTACTTATTTTTCTTTTAATAAAAAAATATACCACAACCTGATAATTATTAGATAGAAGGTATATTTTTTTATTAAAAGAAAAATAGGTAACGTCAGGTGACTTTTTTTTTTATTATATTGCAAGTCACAATAATTTTAATTTTGCTTTCTTTTTTAAGACATAATCATTAAAGATGAATATAGTATAATTATCAAAATTATAATAGCAACATTAACGTTTTGTAACAAACAGCAACATACATGTACATGACTGATGCATCTGCATTTGTTAATGAAAATGCGTCAGCGGACTAGTTTAAAGTCGGTAATGGATCTTGTCCAACCCTACTTGTCCTCCAGCCTCGCTTACAGATCAGAAAAACAATCCTGTTTTGATATTGTTTGTTGAATATGAGAATAATCACTGGCGTGATGAAATAATACGACAAAGAAATAAACTGTAAAGCCATTTCATATTCTGGTGGGAAATCAAGGTTCTGAACTATTTTTTGAATCCCTGATGTACAACAAACAATGGTCAATACAGAAAATGCTATAGACAAATGCAACAGGGACCGAAGGGCTTTTAATGTGATTTTCTTCAGGTTGAGAGGATATACAACAGGAGTCACTGTGAATGGAACAGCTGCTAATATGCTTGCAGTAAATTTGAATCTGCTCCGCGCTTTATTCAGCGTCACCATGACGCAAACCAAAATCACAAACATTGGCAGGAATCTGGATAGAACAATGTACACAATTATTGTGTTTTTGGTATACCCATAGGCGTGTGATTCAAAGCTGCATTTGTGGTTATGTTTATCATAGATGAAGCGGTTCCTGAATAGAGGAACTGACGCAAAAAGAGCCGATAACATCCAAATAAGGACAACAGAAATGGTACAGGAACGATCCGTAACCAGGCTTTGATATTTCAGAGGTCGCGACACAGCAAGGCACCTTTCTAGTGACAGCATCATTAAACTGAACGAGAAGGAAGATTTGGTAAAATGATTCACAAAAAACTCCACTGGACACGCATGGAATTTGTCAGGGCGATTCAAAATAACATAAGCAAGAAATGGGCCTTCCACAAATCCGCTTAGGATGTCACTTATCGCCAAAGACACGACGAATACATTCTGACACCTATGTAGATACTTTGTTGACCATATAACAAATAGTAGCAATCCGTTAATAGTAATAATGAATGCAGAGACTAATATCAGTAGAAATCCGTATATGACATTTTGGACACTGGGAGAATTTACCCCGATTCCTGACATATTGTGTCCATTTGCAATGTTGGAATCCATGGTATACCTATGGAAGCTCTGTACTCAATAATATCAGTGCCTCTTAATTGGGGGATTAGATCCGGTGACCTACAAGTAATTATCACCTTGTCAACTTCTCACCATTTCTCATTTAATGTATATACCTGGAAATCACGCAATACACAATGTAACATAGTTCGATATGTCGACCATTATATGTTAGCTGCTCTGGTCAGGAAATATAATGAGCATTGTGGACAAATCCAAACATATAAAGCAAATGTCTGTATACAGGTTACGAAAATAAAATCGATGAAATACTAGGTTTCTTCCGAGTCCTTACTCACCAGACTCGCGATTTGTCTTTGATTTCCAGAAAAGATTTTTTTTAGAACGCGCATCGTTGACAATACGCAAGATCGATTTTAATCCCCCAGAAGTATAAATTACTAGCATATACTACAGTTTGACACGCAACGGCAAACAAAACGGGGAATCAATCACACACATACTTTGTGTGAATTCTACTCACGGAGTACTCAAACAATTGCATCTTTTTTTTCTAAAAAGGGGTTCTTGGACAGCAAAATTGAATCTTTTGGAGGCCATCAAAGAATATGTAGCAATTTAATGAAAATTAAAAGTGAACTATTTAATTTCATGTTATAAGTAACTGAAAAATCTAATTTAGTTTGACATTGTTCTATGCAATAAAGCAGGTTTGATGATTGCATGTTAAACTTAAATTGGACAGAGTATAATTTAAAAATAATTAGACCAGTTTCCCCGGCTTCTATATCTTTAATGCATACAGCGTACCTTCATGAAATAATGCATTAAAAGACAAAACTTGGTGCCAAAATTTTAATACATGTACTGGAAAGACAGAGATCTTCTATTTAGGATAGACTGCTACCTCGTAATGTTTCATAGGTATGAAAATGTGGTTTTCAAAACTTTTTCTCTGTTTCATATACATTGTATTTTTGAAGTGTTCTATGCCATTTGAAACTTATATCACTTCCTCTGTACCTAAACTTAACTATTTTTTTTTTTTATTCAAAAAAAACTCCAAGCTTACCAAAGAAATAATGACCAAGTTCATCTAATTGAGACATTTCATTAAATAATTTAAAACAGGAAGGATAATTAATATAATACGCTCAAGGCAATCCGAGAAAATCACGTTTCCCCTTAAATAAATTCCTTAATAACCTATAAAATACGGAAAAAATATAAGTATTCCTTAAAATCATTGAAATGATAAATAATTATTCTTCCTTCATAAAAGTGTTTAAAATACGACGCAAGCAACACTTAGTTTTCCAATGAATCAAATATTGGTTTCATCTCCGTATAAAAAATCCGCATAAATAACAACTTTTTCTAGTATTTTTTCTTATGCATGGAATAGCAATATCTTGTATTTCTTAACCTACTATCCCTACTTCCATGGCAACCATGGAAACTGTCATACTTTTTTATAAGTTAAACTTATTACGTAATTGAAGTTTTATAAAGAAAAAAAAAATAGCTTTACCCAAGTCATCACGTGGCCATGTCATTTGATATTTAGGTATAGAATTGGTATTAATTTTTTTTCGTAACATGATTGACCCGTCTATATACCGTGCAGCTAAATTACATGTATGTGAGTAATGAATAACCAACCTTTCCTCAAGATGTTATTTATTCTCAAAATAAATATCCTCGGTCTAATCTTGATTAATGTGTCCATTTTCACAAAGACAATTGTACATGTATCTTTAATATATATGTACAGTGTACAGTCGCGTCTCGTTATTCCGGACACTTGTGTTCCCATCCGAATTAATAAGTCGTCCGGATTACTTGCTTGGTATATATAGTTTCCCATCAATCGTCCGGAAGGTAAAGCATCTCCGGATTATTGCAGTCCGGATTAACGAGGCTCTACAATACTTTTATACAAAAATCGTTTTCGCGTGCTAATCTTTTATATAAAATCGTTTTCGCGTGCTAATCTTTTGGAATTCTATAATACTATGTCATTTAAGATTACTTAAAAATAATTGTACTTTTATTGCTAAAGCTTGACTTCAAAAGTTATAATGCTCATGCTGCTTTCGGGTTGTTTGATCATTCACCATCCTTTAACAGGCTTCCATATTCCAAGGACTTTGTCTCCAGAGTGGATGTAATAGACAGGGTGATTGGCAGCCGTGGCGCATGACTGATAAATTAGATAAATAAATTTATAAACTATTGGCAGGTTGAAACATACATACATACATACATACATACATACATACATACATACATGAATAAAGAAATAAATAAATAAAAATAAAATAAAATAAATGAATAATTAAATTGTTATTCGTCAGAATCTGAAAGGTTTACCATTCTTCATTTTAAGCATAAGGCAAACTTGTAACCCAGAGAATTACACCTTTTCTTTATGCTGTAGATGAAATCCCATGCAAAATTGAAAATTAACCACTGGTGACATTTTGTAGAAACTGACAGTTAATAACAGACAGTCTTTAAGCAAGAATAAAATACATCAAATTATCCTTTGTTCAAATTCCCGCAGTTACTGTAGGAACAGAAATAGATATATGTATGACTTCTCTCTCTCTCTGTAAAAATTGCGTAAATCACAACTTTTTTACATGTATTTGCTAAAAACTTGCATTTTAAACTTCATGTGTAGGCTTATTGGTAATACTAACGCTAAATGTTGTATTGAAAAAGAAATTCAAAGTTATTGATTAAAGCACAATTTTTAAATTGTATTTATTAATTACTTTAGCAAAAATGTGATAAAGAAGATTTTAGAGGCACCTTTACTGCACATATTCAAACAATAACATATTCATTAATTGATATTTTCTCATCACATGTAAGAAACTTAAAGCCACTTTATTAAAGATACTGTTGTATATAGATTTTGTACTTCGGATTTGCTTTCATGATGCTGTATGTCTATATCTATCCAGGTTAAAAGAACCGAATACTCACTAATAGTCTTTCTGTACATAAGTATATTAGTTTAACATGCATTATTTCCATGCCCATTCATTTAATAATTTTACTTTTTATCATTGGGTTCTATGTCTTTCATAACTTTCTGGAAATTTCAATCAAAACTAAGATCGGGGACTGACGGAATGGACATGCAAATCAAGTTTTGATTGAATAATTCACTGATGACGTTTAATCAAATATTTAACGATTGTTAGTTTTCAGCTTTATTAAATTTTGCCAGCAACTTAGATCCGCCAACCTTGTCCACGACCATACTCTCGTTTTGCTATTTCACGGCCGTGTATCGAAAACAAAAATAAACTTTTAATTAAAAAGTTGAATTATTTTCTACTTTAATGATTATCTACGATAATAACAATGCGAGTGAAATCTAATGTACAGACCTCGGCTTATCAAAAAGAGTGAATATGAGCTCTAGTACAGGCTTTCGGAGATTATTTATAAAATTGATTCATTTATTAGTATAAATTATCCCACAACTTTTCTGCTAGAAACCTTGAGGTGAAACTTATTGAATTCATTATCTTAAAAGCCCAAATCCCACAAAATGAAATTTGGAGTGACCTTCATATTGTTTTCAAAAGCCATTCTACTTTTCAAAAATCAAAATTGATTTTAAAATTGATTCAAATTTGCAATGGGAAAAAACTGCATAAAGAGTATGCAAATGTGGGCTTTAATTTCAAGCGCACTTATGATCTTAAATCAGTGAAATCACAATATACCTGAATGACTCAAATGATCAAATATCTGTTGAAAATTGAATTTAAAACATGCTAATCAACTTTTTACTAAATGCATTCTGGAGATCAATATTATTCTAATAAAGCACCCACGTGATATGGATAGATGAAAAGCATGGAATCTATGGGGTAAGCACTGCAGTCAATTTGTCCAGACTTAACGGAAACACAACCATGCTCCTGGGACATTTTCTCCATTCTAAATCATAAAAATATACATTTAAAATAAATAATAAAAATGGTCAGAATATTTACAGAAACGGGTATTACGTGGGAAAGACTAAATCTAACTTACAATCATTCTACCGGCAAAATAATGCAATGATCATATAGCCATTACGGCATTTTTTAGACTGCCGCCAAGGAGCTTACACTTACATTAATTCTTACAGCCGACAAGGAGCTTACACTTACATTAATTCTGGATGATCCTGGAACACAGCGATGCCGTTTGGCAGTTTACAGTACGTGCCATCATGGCTTAGTGCCACAAAGCCGCTGTCTAAGACGATTTGATTGATCTCAGGCTTGTGGCTGATGACACGAGTGGCCACCCGCACTGCGATGTCGTCAAACGCACACGATCCTATACCGAACTGCAGAGTATCTAAAAATTGGAGAAGGGTTCAGAAATTTTGTAAGATAATGTCTATCCGTTTTCATCCTATAGCTGCCTGGGGATTGGAATAATAATGCTCAGAAGGTATATTTGGTAATAAAATCATCCCTTAAGTTTTAGATGATTCATTTAAAAAAAATTGAGGAAAGCACCTAGGCAATGGACGCCAAGTGATGGCATATACTTCTGGGCCAGGTGAGCTAAAACTCGAATTGAAATATATGTTAATGGCATAAAATCGAATCGAAAAAATGGTCCGAAGAATATTTTATTCTTTCTAGCCAGTCCTTAAGATATTTGACACAATTCTTATGCACTTTATGAATATTTAATTCTTCCTTTAACATCTTTTGAAGAAAATTGTACGTAGTGGATCGAGAATTATCCGCTCGAGTTGAATGATAAATCCTTATTGAAAGGTAACAGTGTTCATATCGGCTCTAATTGAATAAATCAGCGCAAACCAAAAGGTTTGTTACATGTTTAGGGTACATAAGTTTTTGTAGAATAAAATATGACTGTACATAGTTTATTTGAACAAAGAAAGTAAGCATAGGATTGATAGTCTAGAACTACCTAGAATATGTGTATTACAAGAAAGGTATCTTGAAGAAGAAATATTTACAGCTACTGATGATTTTCTTCATTTCTCATGAAAACATTTTCTTTTCATTAATCGGTAAACGCCAGCTTTAAACCTACTTTATATATGATTATTTATACAGACATAAAAATAAACAATAAAATGACCTTATCTGTTAGTATGAGAAAACGTTGCAGCTATTGTAGAAAAAAAAAAACATAAATTTATAAATTGAAATGAAAATTGTACCGTAAAATATGTAGTTGCCCGGATGTACTTCCGTGAGTTTAGCCATAGAGTCGTCAAATACAGAGCAGCACGGCGTGTCCCCAAGACCCACTGTCTCCACTGGTATGCCAGCTTGTCGAATTCTTCAGTAAGAATATTGAATTAATATGTATCTAAAGATAATATTAATTTTCCTTTTATCAGAAGAAGAATAATCAATTTGACTGACCTCTCGCACACGTTGAGGAATCTCTTGGTGTCATTTTTGGCCTGCTCTCTCACTTCAGTGTCCGAGGTTTTGGAGTAGGACACTGAGCAGTGAGTGTAGATCCCCCGAAATTCAACATTTGGGGTCTGTGATGCTAACTTTGCTAACTCAACCACTTTATCACTATCCCATGCAACACCAGCTAAAATAAGGTCATTTTTTGTTGATTGGTAAATATTAAATTTTCTTCTGACGTTTACATGGTATAGTCATCCGTTTCTATTTGTATTCTCCAATCAAACGTATCCGCTCCCTTTTTAGTAAGATGACATTTACATGGGAGGGATGTCTGTATTTCAAAATTATATACGCAAGAATAATGTTAACAAGTAAAATTGCAAGCTTTTTATCACGATGCTCTCCGTTTTTTATACAAATTTCACTCAATTGATACACCGAAAATAAATTTTAAAAAATAATTCAACAGGTGGGAGGGGGGGGGGCGTCATTTTCGATCTTGTAGCTTGCTACTACATTGCACCTCCCAAATGTAACGACGGCCTGTCCCGAGGCACATTATTCCAACTTTTTCACACACCCTGCCTTTTATGCGTCCATGCAACTGCTTTATTTTGAGGGTAAAAAACTAAAATAATTAATAAAGACCAGCGCGATGCAGTGTGTATATGTCGTTTACGATTAAATACTTACTTCTATGTCCGCCCACATCCACCTCAAGAAACACTGACCATTTCTTGTTTTCAAGAGAATTTCTCACCAGCGCGGTTATGGCCTCTTCATTATCATACAACAAATGAAATTGTTCGATCTTCTCTTGCAGCGTCTTACATCTGCATTTAAAATATTTTTGTTCAGTGGATTAATTGTAAAGTTCAAATTAACAGGTTTAGTGACCTTGTCACCTTGTCATAGCTTTAAAAAACTCAGCCTCTTCAAAAGATTTTTTTCTGTTAAAATAATAAACACATATTACTTTTAATATGAATTCATTAATCATTGATACACTATTTAAATTAAAAAATTCTTCACCCCACTGAGACCCACATAGAAGCAGGGGTTGTTCTTTTACATGGCTGTCCAACTGTTTTGTAAAACCTCCATTGATAAGATTGGTCTGGAAATTGAACCCGCGACAAATCATTGTTTTCCAGACTGACTTAAGCATGACGATTATCGCCATTGCTACTAACTATTGCTCCGCTAATCTTTATATAGAAAATATACATGAACCTTCGTATTCCAAGTCAATCAGATGAGATAATCGATACATAAACACCGTTTTCATTTGCTTGCACTTTTACTCGTACCTGTAAAGGTTCGATTCAATGACCGGTTTGCCGTAAATAATGTCATCAAATCCATTACTTGCAAAAAATTCCGCTTCAGCTAGCGTAGATACGACAATTTTTTTACGTGTCCCACCGGTCATCAAGTCACCGCCCTCTCTGCAAGGAATTGAAAGAATATTAAATTAATTATTAGAGTGGCTTACAAACTAGCGGAAATTTAATTTTCTTACATAGTCTTGTGGGTTTTCATGTGGGGCCGTAATTCCACCCCAACATCTTTGTAACGCCTAATCATTCGAGAACAGTTTCTTTTAACTTTGTCAATATCAACAAGGAAGCATGGCGTTGGCAGGTCTTTTATGGATCCCGAAAATGGTTCAGTCGCCATAGTTTCCTGGACTACAAAAATTAAAGTAACGATGGAACACAGTAAGGAAAGGAAAAAAAAAGACCTGCAAAGCACTTAAAATCTTTTGTACCAGAAACAGGATTTTTAAAGAATAGAATACCTACCCCGGCCGGTGTCCACCTTTATTTACACCTTGACTTGTAGGTCAACACCGTGCATGTCTGTTCATGTTATCTAGTAGAAATTCGGCTGAGTGAAAGAGGTCACTAACCTTACGGTGTTACCTTTTTTGCATGAATTAAATTATACATGTTTTGCGATTTTTGTCACTAAAGTTATGGTTGTTAATCAGAAATCAAATTATGCAGGGGGTATGGTTTAAGCCACTTCTTTACTGAGTCAGCTTTATGTGAATGTAAAATCTGAATGTCTTGAAATACAAAATATTCAGTACACATTTATACGATCGACGCTATGTAGGCATGTCAAATATACCAGAAAGTAAAACGAGTAACTCTTGACTACCAGAAAATTAGAAATACCCTCATTTTTTTTTAAATCGAGCGTGGGTTAGTGGTTAGAAACGCATCGTACAAGTTGTGACGGGTTCGAATCCACTGCGGGACGTGGAAACCGGTCTTTGGATGAGACCCTATAGCTATAAACCGAGGCCTTGTGTCCCAGTAGATGATGGCACGAAAAAGATCTCTGATCCATACAAGTTGTGACGGGTTCGAATCCACTGCGGGACGTGGAAACCGGTCTTTGGATGAGACCCTATAGCTATAAACCGAGGCCTTGTGTCCCAGTAGATGATGGCACGAAAAAGATCTCTGATCCATACAAGTTGTGACGGGTTCGAATCCACTGCGGGACGTGGAAACCGGTCTTTGGATGAGACCCTATAGCTATAAACCGAGGCCTTGTGTCCCAGTAGATGATGGCACGAAAAAGATCTCTGATCCATACAAGTTGTGACGGGTTCGAATCCACTGCGGGACGTGGAAACCGGTCTTTGGATGAGACCCTATAGCTATAAACCGAGGCCTTGTGTCTTGTGAAAAAGATCTCTGATCCATGGCAATACTAAGTAAGTGCCGAGTAAAAGACTAAATATACAACCTTTCACCGGCAAAAGGTGGCGTCCCATTATCAGTGAAAAAAAATCTCGAAGTGATATATAGAGCAAACAAACAAAATTTCACCGAGATGAAACCACGAAGAAACGATATTACTTTTAAAGAATAGAATACCTACCCCGGCCGGTGTCCACCTTTATTTACACCTTGACTTGTAGGTCAACACCGTGCATGTCTGTTCATGTTATCTAGTAGAAATTCGGCTGAGTGAAAGAGGTCACTAACCTTACGGTGTTACCTTTGTGCATGAATTAAATTATACATGTTTTGCGATTTTTGTCACTAAAGTTATGGTTGTTAATCAAAAATCAAATTATGCAGGGGGTATGGTTTAAGCCACTTCTTTACTGAGTCAGCTTTATGTGAATGTAAAATCTGAATGTCTTGAAATACAAAATATTCAGTACACATTTATGCGATCGACGCTATGTAGGCATGTCAAATATACCAGAAAGTAAAACGTGTAACTCTTGACTACCAGAAAATTAGAAATACCCTCATTTTTTTTAAATCGAGCGTTGGTTAGTGGTTAGAAACGCATCGTACAAGTTGTGACGGGTTCGAATCCACTGCGGGACGTGGAAACCGGTCTTTGGATGAGACCCTATAGCTATAAACCGAGGCCTTGTGTCCCAGTAGATGATGGCACGAAAAAGATCTCTGATCCATACAAGTTGTGACGGGTTCGAATCCACTGCAGGACGTGGAAACCGGTCTTTGGATGAGACCCTATTGCTATAAACCGAGGCCTTGTGTCCCAGTAGATGATGGCACGAAAAAGATCTCTGATCCATGGCAATACTAAGTAAGTGCCGAGTAAAAGACTAAATATACAACCTTTCACCGGCAAAAGGTGGCGTCCCATTATCAGTGAAAAAAATCTCGAAGTGATATATAGAGCAAACAAAATTTCACCGAGATGAAACCCCGAAGAAACGATATTACTCGGGATATTTACAAATCAATCGATATATCAATAATTGATGGACTTTAATTGGACAGTGAAATAGACTGGAGTAGGCTAAACTTGCGTCATCTTGTTTGTCAGCAAAAATTTAAAGCCCTTATATGTAAAAAGTAGTTCTGGGCTTTCAAAAATTTCTGTGAAACTAATATTTTTTTTCATTTGAATACCTTTAATAACTCATAAACTAGCTAAAATCCCATAAAACACGTGCCTTTGTATGCTTATTTTCATACAACCTGTCTCGGAGTACATTACCTCTCAAAATTCAACAGCCGAGATTTAACTTAATATGTTTAACATAAAAAACGAATTATTATTTCTTATAAAGCTCATGCGATGAATCGGTAAAAAGCTTAATTAGATAAAAAATATCATTATCCTCCGAATTAAATGTCAGTCCAGTCAATTGTTGTACAGAGAAAATAGTACAATATATATGGTGTTGAGGTCTATGTGGTTAATAACATAGTCACAAATAAAAGACTGTGCGCTCTAGCTCTTATTTTCCCCGGTAAACCGGCGCCATTAGGAAAACTGGAAATTTCACCATCTCAAACCGGAGCTGACTTTCGATTATTGCGAACTGAATTAAATGCCGAACTTACAATTTATCAGTAGCACAATGCTTCTAGTACTCACCAATATCGATGAAAAGAAAATATCACTCCACATTTCGATACAGGTCTTCAAAGATTTTAAAAATGCACGAAATGAAAAGAGAATTCGACCGCCTGATAAAATGTTTTCAACAGTCTGTATATTTCATAAACAAACCCATAAAAATGATGTTGGTGAGTACTAAAGGCATTGTACTATTAATAAGTTGTGAATTAAGCATTTAATTCGGTTCGCAAGTATAGAAAATCAACCCGAGAATGCCGCCTCCAGTTGGAGGTGGCGAATTCCCAGTTTTCGTAATGGCGCCGATTCTGACGTTTTCCTGGCACGTAAAATATCAAAATCGTGAAAAAAAAGCCTGGAAAACGTCAGATACTTCGGACTAGCTCTTATTTAACTCCGTTCAGAGTATAATTGACCATTATTTATACTGTATGTTTAGCGGGTTTCATATTTCCATGGTTATTTTTATGCAGTCAGAGTGATATATCCTTCGATGTATAAACCGAGTTTGTATTCTTAACATATATTCGACGAAGTGATTGAATACTGCTTTGTTTGTGTTTTCTCCATTTAATCAAGGAGAGAATGACCATATATAAGTACCCTGTATTAAAAGATAAACTCAATATTTTCATATATTATATGATTATCTTTTAGTCCAAAAAACATTTTTTTCATTATTGTGTATAGAGGGTTCTTAAAGGGATATAGACACAGATTTAAAGTTAATATTTTCTTAAATTTTCTGTATAGTATCATGACTTATATGTTGCTATAGCATTTCACACGGAAATATAATAAACTTATTTTATATGGAAATTATTGAAACTACGAATTTCGGGATGCGTGAAACATAAACATTAACAGAGCTCGTGCCCTGTTTTCAAAACAGTTTACGTTCCACCGGGTGTTTTCAATTTGTTGAACTCTGCACACATCACTGAGCACGGACTGGTTTTGCTTTCTCACATTTCTACTCTGAATTTTCTGGATTATATCTTTAATTTTTTTCATTAATACACAACAAAATTTCTACTTTTCTTAAGTTTACTTTGTGAAAGTGCAAGGATGTGTCAATCAAACGCGTCCCGAAATTTGTAGTTTCAATAATTTCCAGATAAAATAAGTTTTTTTTTATGATATACTATAGCAACATATACGTAATGGTATAATACAGAAAATTTGAGAAAATATTAACTTCAAATCTGTGTCTAGGCCCCTTTAATCTACTGCAGACCCTGTGTCAACAAGGCATTCCGAAATACCCACTCAGAGAAATTCTTTCTTTTTTCGATTTAACTTCTATTTTATGGTCACATGAGTTACTTACCTATTTAAATCAGTCTTTCAAACATCACCAGATTTTCAAATTCGCATGGAAATGGATGAATAACCTTGAGACCTTTCCGTATGATTAAAGTATGTTAAATTCATCGTATATAATTGAAAGAACTTTCTTTTTTTATATATATATATATATCTAATCTCATTTGAATTAGGTAATAAAATGACCATTTTTGCTGTTTTTTGTCTGTAAATATAGCCCCCCCTCCCGTGAAACAACAAAATCTTCGCTATCAATTTGTGAACTAACAATTCATAATACCTGTAAAAAGAAATTTGTTTCACGATGGGGCAAATTTGAATCTACACTTCCTAAGGATGCTTCTATATTATGACTACCGGTAATCATTACTTTGCTGTTCTTGGGCAGATTTTTTTCAAGACGATTCCTATATATTCTTATGCAAAACTTTTACCCTCTGTTGTGCCCCAACCCCATGGGGGTCATGATTTGAACAAACTTGATTCTACAATACCTAAGGTTGCTTCTGTATAAATATGACTAATAATGGCTTAGTACGTTGTTCTTGAGAAGAAGCTTTCAAAGATATTTTTTATGTAACGTGTATGATCAGGTTTTTACAAGGGATATATACTATAGGTTTTCCTTTTACTCTGTCTGAGTTGATGATTGGAATGATTATGTTTATAACTTTTATTTTGCTCTTAAGTTTTTCCATCCCTTACTTTTACTCAAATGTCACTTTACCATTACACCTATACATGTTTATTCCTATGTTAAACTTTGACCCCTCTGTTTTGACTTCGCTCTACCCCTCCCCCCTTCCACCCCCGGGGAGTGTTCATGATTTGATCAAACTTGAATCTACACTACCCGAGGATACTTATGGATTAATGTGACTTATAATGGCTTAGCTGTTCTTAAGAGGAAAATGTTTAAAAGATATTTCCTTTATATTCCTATGGTAAATTTGCCCCCTGGTGTGGCCCTGTCTTATCCCTAGGGGTCATGATTGGAACAAACCTGAGTCTACTACTACTACTTCTATTATCATGGCTTTGCTGTTCTCGAAAAGGCTAATTTGAAAGGGAATGAGATGGGTTAATTAATAGTGCTCAAGCACTGTTTTGTTTAATCTGGATGGTGATAGGGACAAGGCAAGTCGATCTACTTTAAGATTTGTAACTTAGTACTAGAATCATTATTTTGTACTAGAATCATTATTTTGTTGATCCCTGATCATCCTATTTCTCTTGCTTAAAACTGGGCAATTATAGCTTCATCTACCAGATTATTTTGTGTTATTTTATACTTCTATGGATACTTTACAGTGTTGTACAGTTGCATTACACTCAGATGACCGTTAAAGCCCTTTTGTATCTTGTTTGAAATTAAAACCAGACCCATAATCCCCAAGTTTCACTTCACTCAGACCTTAAATTCCCCATATATGCTAGTATCATGCACGTTTTTTGCATAAGAAAAATCGAAATTTTTGACAGGACAGATTATCAAGTCCAAGATTTTTTTTTTTTGTATTCTTTACCTTTGTGTTCTAAATTTAATTTGATTTTTACCACATAATTGTCATGTACAAATTTTGCATAAGAAATATCAAAATTTTTGCAAAGGACACCAGCTTTTAATTTCTGCTCTAAAATAATTGGTCATTTGTGACAGCAATTACCAGTACTGTAGTAACATACCTATATCAGTAAGCGACAGTAAGCGTCAAATACAGGTAACATGATCTGCAACTTTTATGTCGGACATTTTTATTGCAATATTGTAATTAACTATTTCAATGACAGAAAAAAAAGAACGTTTATAAACTTCTGTTGTTCATATTTGCGATAGAAGAACTATTCAGAAGCTTTGATTGAAGCAAAATTACGTTATTGTCGTCCTATACAATATTGATTTCTTATATAATACTATACATTCCCTTGTACAGAAACCTATCTTCGGAAAAAAATTAATACGTTATATCAGTCTAATTGATCATAAAGCTTTAAATTACATACAGATTTATCGTAACAGCACATTTTAACAGCAAAATAAAATTCTCAAAAAATGCAGCTCATATTGCTAATAATTATAACCTCTTAACCTTGTAACATATAGATACACATCCTTAAAGTGCATATTATATCAAGAGGTCATAATTAGAATTGCAGCCAGGAATATTGAGCACAGGCACTTGTTTCTGTAATAAATTTTTGACCCATAGTATAATATTATTATTATACTATGGGTCAAAAATTTATTACAGAAACAAGTGCCTGTGATATTGAGCCAGCATTATCACGACCATACTGTGTTTACGCGATCATATACATACTTGCTATAACTGCATTCTCAATTTCAGGTTTCTCACGTCTGTTTGCGTTTGAACATACATTTCATATTTATATCATATAGCGATGTTAGTATCTCAATACATGCGTTTTGCGTTGTATCAAATTGTCTTCCTTGTGAAATGACTAAGTTTAATGACAGAAGTACACATACTTCTATAACCTCTTACTTTGGCCAATCACTCTCAAAAAACAATTATTCACAAATATCATGATTTATTGAAAACACACACAAACATAAAAGGATTTTTAAAAAACGCCAGAATCAAGTTTTTTTTTTTCAAAAAAGCTTTCTAAGATAAAACATCAAAAGCTTAATGAAAGGTTCTGGAATTATTTATGTGTCTAGCTCGTTTGTTCAAATAGTAATAACTGTATTATTTCCACCAGTCTTTTTTCCGTGTAAGGACCTTTGTCTGCTAAATTGGACTGTATAGGAAAACGCGGAAGTACTCGACATATAGATACACATCCTTAAAATGCATATCATATCAAGAGGTTATAAAAACTCTCATGGAATACAGATTGAAAGTATGTTCATCTCCGAGAGGAATTTCCTCAAATGCCTCATACACGGAAGACCAAAAGGACATGTTTTATGGTAATAAACGACCAGACTTTAGTCAAACGTACACAGACAACAGAGGGAGCTACTGTCAAAATCATGCTGTTTCCCCGTTTCACGTTATTTTTCTTCTCCATGGTTTCTGCTTACAAACCTGTTGTTTTGGTACATGGGGTTTTTGGCACCGCCGACGGAGAATTCAGTCAGACCTTTGATAAATGGATACCTGATGTAAGTTGCCTTTTATCCTCCTCCGACTTAATGCCATTTTTTAACGAATTTGAAAAAAAAAAGAATCATCTTTTTATTCGTTTTCATTACATTTGGGAAATATCAAAAGAAAACATATTTGACATAGTAGTAACATTTACTGCCTTAACTATATCTCTTTGAAACACAATTTTTCTTCTGCTTGTGAAATGATAATTTGCAGAATTAAAACCTTAAAAAAAATAGAGAAATTAATAGAAAGCTGGGTCAGAAATTATATTTTAAACATTGAATGATCATATTGGAAACAATGATACATTGTAAAACTCTTAATTTTGCATGTATTTTTTTTTTTACCTATTCAGGCATTGTTCATTGGTTTTCATTCTTCTTTCATTCATCTCTTGTATAGTACACTAGAAAGAAGATTAATTTCATTATAATGTCAGTAATCAAAGATCTTTGCAAGAAAATTAATTTTTCGCCTTATTTTGAATAAGAAAATAAGAGACATCCTATATATTGGTCAATCGGGAGCCTACATTTTGGATCGTGTTTATGCCATCTACATGCCATATAACTGTCTGTTATTAAATACAAAGTAACTTTTGATCCATTTAAAGTAGACACCTTTTATTTATTTATAAGGAGTCTCCATTCTTTTTGTACAATAAAAATCATGTCAAGAGGTAGGGATGTGCGATTTTATCGGTATACTGGTATATCGTGATTTTTATTGCGTGATACGTATCGTGATACGGAGACTCAAATACTGGTATTTGGTACATAATTATAAATTCCAGAAATTATTCATCCATTTCTTCGAACTATTAATAAACTATTAATAAAAATTACAAGAAGTCTAAGAAATGTTGAAAAAAGTTAAACTACGGCATCCAAACATGCTTTATTTCATATGAATAAAAATGAAAAAAGTGAAGTTATGTTTTTACAACGTATTTGTAAGAAAAATTATAGAAATTCATTTGAAATTGTAGTAAAAATTCCGTGTAAAAATATCACGATATTATCGTGATATATTTTGGGGGGGGGGGGGCGTGATATATCACGATACGAATTTTTTTGGCGATACCCACGCCTTTTCATAAAACATCTTCCAGATATAACTTAATAATTTTTAATAACCACAGATGGTGTTTTAGTTTGTTACAAGTTTTGATTTTATTCTACTTCAAGGAACATAGTGGTACTATTGTGTATCCGATACGTCTGTACGAGAAGTTTTGTAGCCTCACTCCCATGTGGATCCAAATCGCTAAAATACGACGGAAGGTAGCAGACATTATGGTGAACCATTCCGATGGCATCCATTTTGTGTGCTTTTCGCAAGGTATAGTTATACGTCGTGTTTTATTTTTGCTTATGGAAGAACGACCTTCCACTCACCAAATGTTTTTTTCTGAAATGATAACAATTTTCAGGCAGGAGAAGATGAAAATGAAATTGAAGTAAATAAAGTAATTCACAAAAAGGTTAGAAAAATCATTATTGCTGATAAGATTTTTATTACAGAAACGTGATCATTTATCTATATATAGGCATGGTTCGGAACAGTTCTTCTCTAAATATAAAGACCACATGAAAGATGATACAGTAAAACTAGTAATATCCTGATGATAATTATTTTGTTACATACGAGATGATATAGGTACCACTAGGAATCTATTTTGTTTCATGAAAGATACTGTCCTGATGAGGATTATTTTGTTATCCCCTCGCATCGGAGTTGGAGGGATATAGTAACGCATTTGTGTGTGTGTGTGTGTGTGTGTGTGTGTTAGTCCTGTGCGACAAGGAAGTGACGTAATTTGCACCGAGATCAAACGTTGCATTGTTATATGTATATTTTTAAGTTATTCATCCATTGTCTGATCTCGTATTCCAAATACATAAATAAAACTGAACGAGGGGATAATAGAATATAAATTAAGCTACATACTTGTAGCTTGCCTACATACAGTGAAGTCGCCAATTACGGGTTGTCTCAGTTCTTAGTATGTATTTTATGCCATATTTTTTAAACTGAAGCACAGAAAAATTAATAAACACACAAGTCAAGAATTGATTTTTCTGTCTGTAATCAGTAACAGAATTTTGAAAAATCAACATTAAGGTTTTTGTTCACTGCAGCAAGGCAAAAGTTGTAGTTAAACAACAATGTCTGCAAAGTATGGCACTTGCATTCAGGTATAACTCAGAAATTATATATAATGATCACTAATTTACACTGATTGATAAATCAAACTGTATAGCAACGGTCCACATACCCCATGACATAGAACATATCAAAACTCAACATGATCAATATTCAAAACCTATTGTCAACTTTTTATTTACTTAGAGTTATTAAAGTATCCTCCAATGTAAAATAAAAAAGGAGCTGTTACATTTGTGTTTCCCTTGCAAAAAAAAAAAAATCAAAATAAAATAAAATTTAAAGCTCGCGTGTGTGTGTTGGGGCCGGGGGTGGGGGGTTGGTGTTGCGTAACAAAAGTTAAGCAAGTCATAATTCATATCAGCATTGATATACTCTTTTGTGAGGGGATGCTTCGCTTTGCGGTACCCTTGTTACATTTAAGATGACACAGGTAAACTGATGAGAATAATTTTATTACATTTGAGATGATACAAGTAAATCTAGTCCTATCTTGATGAGAATTTTTAGGTGGATTACTTTGCCGTGGTGTGTTGTCTTCAATGAACCATAACGTGGACACTTTCATCTCTCTTTCCTCACCACAGGCGGGACAATATGGAAGTATGTTACCGCAAAAAAATAAAGATAAAGTTTAAAAAAGATAATAATGTTAAAAAATGGATTGCTGCATATTCAATTTTCTGATTTATCAAAATTTGTTTTGTTTTTTTTCATCGTAAAAACACAGTTCCAGATCCATGGAAGAAATATATCGATTCTCTGAAACAAAAAGCCTACAGGTTAGTACAAAGAACTGTAGCATTGATGCTTAGATAAAGTAAAATAATCCATCACAATTTCATTTTGACTTTGCATATGTTGGTATACATGTGTATGTCTGTAAATTAAAAACCTCGTTTATACACAGGCTTCTGTACTCGAAATTCTTCCAAGGAAAACTGTCCATTGCAAATTACTGGAATGGTACGTTTATTTCTATTAGATGTACATGTACATGTATATAAATACTTTAAAACGTTTATTTAAATTATAATACCAACTCTAAACATATCTATAGATTGTACCATTTTAATTTTTTTAGAATTTTCTTTTAAGACCCCCACCATCAGGATCTTTTCCGGAAATATTCCGTGTTTCTAGCACCTCTAGACGGTACGACACCAACAGCTAACTTAACAGGTATCACTTTCAGTAACAATATTTCTCAAGCTTTTATTATGTTTTATATGTTATTATACAAATGAATAATTAATCATTGTTTTCCTAAAAAGATTCCATCGTGATTTTTTTTTTCTTTTGAAAGAATACAGAAGAAATTTTCTGAAACTTCGGAAATTAGTTTTGATTGGCGGGCCAAAGGATGACGTCATCAGACCTTGGCAATCCAGGTATAATCAAATGGATATTCCAAACTGAATTCTTTCGACTTCTGTAAAAAAAAAAAAACAAAAAACAAAAAAAAACACACACACACACACACCCTCACACACACACACACACACACACACACACACATGGAGATTTTTTTAAAACTGAAAATTTTGATTTAATGATGACAAAATGATGATGACTAACAAATACTGGGTTTCTTTCAGTCACTTTGGTTTTTATGACGACAAAGAAAGTGTAGTAGAAATGAAAAAGCAGCAGGTTATTTTTTTGTTCTTTTAAAGTATAATCGTCATTTTAAAGTTAGGCATGGTATTTAATTTACATGTAACTTTTTACATGTAATATGCAAATTTCGTATAAGACAATTTTTGAATCATGCTTTTAGTTATACTTCCCATTATTGTGGATGTTTTGTAGTTCTTTATGAAAGACGATTTTGGATTGAAAACACTTTACACGAAGGGAAGGGTTACGACCTTCACTTTCCCAGGAATTCGTCACTCACAATGGTACACCAATCGAACAGTATTCAACAAGGCAATACTGCCATTCTTAACATAGGATAAGGATCATATGCACCAAGAGAGTCAGTGGACATATAACGAAAATATTTCTTTCATCCCAAAAATAAAACAAGCAAACAAAAACCACCACCACCCTCAAAATACAGCTTATTGTTTAGTTTACTAATTGAAAACTTTTACCGTTGGGTTTTCTTTCCAGTACTCACTCTAAGAATGCAGTGTGTGATATTTTATAAAGTGATATGCGATATATTGAATGTTTTAAGAAGTCTACCAAAAAAACCCTTGTAAATCATTTAATACATTAATTTTATAAAACCTGAGTATTTTATAACTCAATTCGAAGTTCTTGTCTCACTGTCATTACCAGAATACACTTCAAATTCAAACTTTTAACTTGTCAAAATATAGTTGTCTAATGATGTATTTTGTAATAGTTAATTAAGATGTGCTAATCTCTTTAATTCAAAACAGTTAAATATACTCTTTGGTTATTGAAATCCCCAACTTTTTCACAGAATTATAAGAAAAACTGCCTGTGTGATTCGTATTGCATTTTGGATGTTATTTTTTCGGTACAATACATTCTTGAATATCGATATATTGACCAACCCTGTGTGTGTGTGTGGCTAGTAACTGGTTTCATCATGTCTACTGGACAAAAATCACTCTTGAGAAGCGACCTGGGTACACAATAGATAGTGAGATTCACGTGCCTGGGCGTCAACAAAAAAATCTTATCGATGGCGATTCTTAACGATTGATTGATTGATTGTATGTTGTTAAACGTCTCATTCGAGAATTTTTCACTCATGTAGAGACGTCACCGTATGCCGGTGAAGAGCTTCAAATTTAGAACTATACTCAGCACTCAGGGCCATTGAGCAGTGAGATTCTTTATCGTGCCAACGCCTACCGTGATACGGGGCCTCGGATTTTAATGCAACGTTCGAAAGACCCATGACTTTCACTTCTAGTGCCGGTCGCTTGGCGTTGGCGAAGGAACAGTCACTACCTATTTTTACGTCTTAGGTTTGACGCGGCTCGGCGGCGAACGAGAATCGAACCCGACCTCCTGATCACGAAGCGAGGGCCCTACCACTCTTATAGAGAATGAGTTACAAAACCTGCGTCCGTTTTATCTCTAAGATGGGATCATCTAAAAAAAGTCTGATGAAATTAAACCCACTGAATCAAAAAATTGTGTGTTTGTAATGGAAATTCAGATTAGGATTATTTAAAACATGAATATTTGCAATTGCAATATAAGTATTAGGGACATGTCAACATGCGACATCCAAAACATCATTTTATATACATACATACATACATACATACATACACACACACACACACACACACACACACACACACACACACATATATATATATATATATATATATATATATATATATATATATATATATATATATATATATATATATATATATATATATATCTTCCAATGTATCATCTATAAAAATTTTGCCATTTGGGGGTTCAAAATCACTTTGAAGTGGTCCTAAATCAAAGTGTTTAATTGCGCCATCATCCAAATAAGTTTGATCAACATAGAAGTTGCCGCTTTCTTGGAACAATTATATCTCATGCAAAAATGTACGATACTTGTAACCTTATTGAATGTTTGCAACCTTAGTGCATCTATTCCATAAAAGTAAAAACAATTCAGTAAAACCATAGTGTAGAAAGACCTCTAACTGTGAGTGAATGGGTATGGACAGTATTCAAGTTCAAAAGTCCATTCAAACAATACAAATCGGGACCAAAGCAAACACGGACCTCTATTTTAAGCATCAGAGGTGGGATCAGGTACCATGGAGGAGTGAGCATCCCCTGCCGACTGGTCATATCCGCCATGTGCTCCTTGTCATGATTGGGAAAAACGGAAAAATCCGTAGTCAATTCAGTGTGTTAATAATGGCCTAACAATTAGTATGAAAAACGTTAGTCAGCATTTGACTTAATGATAGATTATATATGCTGAGAAAGTCATTGTATCGACCATAGAACTCTCCATCCTACGCAGACCATAAACATTATATCAAAATCGATTAAAGTTGTTTATAAATATCAAACAGGATATATATTGTTGATTATAATGCGATGATTGCTATGGTTGAAATGTTATAAATAAAATAAAATAAATTGAAACAGGTGTTTATAAATTATTTATTCTCATTGATTACAAATTGTACTTATTGTTCAGTGTAGCATTTCCAGAGATTATGATAGTTATACATACATTGTTAAGTACAAGTATAATCAAGAAGCGAAATGATACAGTACGTGTCAATTTATTAGTTTCATTTTAATGAATATGCATGCAATTGCAGATAAGTTATAGTTGTCTCCATGCAAACCCTAAAAGGAAAAGAATACATTTATATTTTGTATTTGAATTATGTTAATATATTTTTTAAAAAAATCAATAAATACATTTTTCCTAACACCACGAAATTTGAGTGATCCCAATATTTTTTGTTTTGTTATATTTTAGCTCTTAATTAATTTTAATCGACACTTTCAATGTGACATACATGAAATGTCCAGTTTAGTTTGACCTCTTTAGTGTATATATGCTACTTCATAAGTGAATAATTTCAATCTTTGTGAGATTTTACAGAAAAGTATATGCTAAATGAAATATCAAAGAAAATTTTGTTAATTTTTCATTTCTGATTTGTCGCACCGTAGGCATTTTGCTCGCCTTCGCCTTTCGATCTTCTCTGAAGTTATCTTTATAATAAAATCTACCGGTATCTGGAACCTTCCCCCATTAAAAAAATTTGTGATAAAAATAACACACATTCTACATCTGCCATATCTAACAAACAATACAATAGATGGGAGCAATATATATATATATATATATATATATATATATATATATATATATATATATACCTAAACCTGAATATATATATATACCTGAACCTAAAACATGTTCTTAAATGAGAAATTTTCAGATTTTGCCATCTATTGATTTTACAATTTGAAGTTAACATCTGATGGAATATTTATCAACAACAATATTAATTCTTATCCATCTCAATGATTTATCTACCTAAATATAAGATCTTGTTTGATAAAATATATAATTAAACAAATATACAATATTCACAATCCAATTAAAATTAGATCCTTTAATCCGCTTACGTAGATCCGACTTTAACTAGAATTAATTAGAATTTTCAGGGTATTTTCAGCTATTTTAAGTTAGAGATGTCCTTGAGTGGAAAGAAATTTATTTAAAGATATGTTCGAACTTGCAGAACATAAAAAGATGCTTTTACTGAAGCAAGCTTTAAGGTTCATCTACTCTCTGCTGAGAGAAATAACTCTCACTGGGGTTAATGACGATTATTCCCATAAAAATGTCAAGTTAACAGTTTAAACTTTTTAAAACACGAAATAGAGTTTATTGAAGATTACATGTTATTAATAATAATACCGAAAAAAAAAATATATAAAAGAAGACAAATATAATTTTTTTTTACAATAAGTTTTTATGGTATTGTGTGTTCATTTATTTTTCTTAAAGAATCTGTATTTTACATTTACGGATCACACCGATCATCCGATAACTTAATAATCTGTCAATTTCGTCAAAACAGCTTTTCGTAAATGTATATAACCCATTTTAAACCATTCCAAAAACAAAGGGGGGATATATAGTCGTAATATTTAAAAAACATAAAACAAAAACAAAGGTACTCAGAATTAAATCTTCAAAGGAATGGATGTTTTTTTTCTGTGTTCCTAACTCGTAATTCAAGTTTCCGTGAGGATTTTATACTGAAGGGCGTACGTGCAAAAACTGTAGCTGGCTTATCGCAGGTATTCCAGACTATTTCACGACCTCTAATCCAGTAAGTTTGGTAATTACTGAAGTATCAAACATGGTCCGGGTGTGAAATATTATTTTAAAAAAGTAGATCACGTCCAAATAAACGTTTAAAATTATTATTTTACTTATTAACTCAAACTTTCACTTTGAGAAATCTTATTGTTGTGTAGACCTGTGTGTATATCTATGACATAATACTTCCTGTCTGTGTCAGCGCCAAGGTTCTGACTGCGCGTCCTACGAACTCAAATCTAGCCCGGGAACACAGCCTTCCGTCCCAGTCCTTTATTTTAATAAATTTCAAAATCGAATATGTTGTAAATATAGGGTTAGGGTTAGAAAATGATATATTCTCACTTGTCCATGTTGTAACATCCTCAGAGCTATTAATACCGTTTTTGCCTGTATTTGAAGATAAGTTGAAAAAAACCCACAGTTAATTCAGATAAGGGTTTACAATCATGTATTTACACAGATGTTACATGGGAAATCAGTCACTAGGGTAACTATAGAGTACAATCACAACGTATGTAACGATTACCTTGAATCGGTTCTGAATTACTATGGGCATAAATTAATTTCATTTTTAAAACAAACTAGGATGAAGCGCGTATTACGTACGAATGAACATACATGTATCTAAAATAACTTTAACTGTACTTGGCAGATTCATGCGTAATTTTGTTTTCAAAATTGAATAGGAGCCTGTTTCGTAAAATCTTAAATACATCGCAAATAATGAAATAATTTGTCTATTCTATGGAAAAGGAAATTCTGAATGGTTTTATTAAAATTTCCATTGTTTCGATACAACATAAAATTTTATCAGCAACTGTTAATAAAATGCAAGTAAACATAGTTTCATTCAGAATTCCTTTCAGTTTTTACAGCTTGAAAACTCGTCGACTTGTCTAAGTTGAGTAAACTTATTTAGATCATGATCTCTCTGTTTGAAATCAGCTGATAATGAAATGATTTTATGCATGTTAGTAAGCTATTCAGAACATAAAATTTACTTACTTGACTACTGTTGACTTATTTTGGAATATAAACATTTTTTGGTCGTATATTTTGTTTTCTAATTCATGTCCATAATTCTTACAAAACTTTGTGGTGATAAATATTATTCGTTGAAGAAATCGGGATTACTATAAATGAGTTTTTACGCAACCCACGATGAAGTTGTCTTTCTTTGAATATATAGATTTCGTTATTCAATACTGAAGAGACAGACAGGTACACACAGGTAGTGCTTCTCGTGTAGCATGTTAGTAAACAAGTTTATATGAAAGCAAATGCCATAGTTACTATCGTCATATGTTAAGGATTTTTTTTTTTTTTTTAGATGTCATCAGACCTTCATATACAATACACTATTACTACACCTCTGTGTCCTCCG